TACATTTTGTCCCAAACTTCCAAAATGGCACATTTTATATTTTTTCATGCATATAAAATAACAATGAAACATAAAATATAAATTATTATTGCTCTGTCCGTTGAAGTGATGACTGTTAAGGAATTCATGGTATATCTGGTTGATGCGATTTCGGCAATACAATTTAGTTGAATACGAACTAGGCTAGAAAATTTCAGTTCTTTTTAAGGATCTAACTACGCAATTTCGACAAAAACCAAAAGCGAATCAGTTTGTATGTACCAGAAGCGGAAGCGATAGACTGAACCAAATCATACCGACCAGATCAGAGTTTAGTTTATTTACCCATGTACGTCTGTCTGTCCGCCTCTCTGTCTGTTTGTACGCAAACTAGCCTCTCAGTTGTGACATATTTATTTGAGTTAATTTACGGTGTTAAAATAAAAATCATCAGCTGCTGGTCGACGCTGTACTTCTACAGCGATACATATATAATCAATGTTTCAAAAGTGCGTTAAATTTAACGAAAATAGTTGATTAGTTCAAAGCTACCAAAGAAATCATTACTAGTTTAGGCAAAATAGAGATTTTTTAGTGTATTTTGAGGGTACTTTTGGAGGAATACCGATGAGTTGGGGTCTCTAAGTTATGTAGAAGCTGCGTGAACTTCAGCTTTTTTACTGAGGAGACACTGTTTACGCGATTAAAGTCAAGTTAAAAACAGCGCGGCACTCTTTCTTTCTCTGCGCTATCGCCGCCAATTAAGACTGCCAAGCCCAGCCAGATCCTTCTCCAGCTGCTCTTTCAAACGGAGTGAAGGTATTCCTCTTCTTCTGCCTCCACCAGCAGGCACTGCAAAGCACAGCAATACGATAAAATTCGTCAACTATTTTGTTATGATTTTAGTTAATTTAAACAAATTTATTTTTAATTTTACATTATTTACAGTTCGAATTATACAGATTGTAAAAAAAGGTTTTTTTTTAATTTGACTGAGAATTTATTCATGTGATCGGAGAAAAGAGAAGTTTCAACGAGAATTTTAAAAAATCTCCGAAAAAATCTTCAAATACAAATTGAAGAATATCCACCCAAAAAAGGGCTGATAGATCAACCTACAGCCTAAACCACTGAACATAGATACATGAAATTTGAAAAGTTCTATGCATACGTGGCAGCCAACAAGAAAGGATTTTCCTTGATGCTTCCTTGACGCTTAGAGAATCTTCAAATAATTGAAGAGAGGTCATTATGACAGTAGCGAGACTATCACTGTTTTTCCAAAGCACGACGAAAGCAATACGAACAAATATGGCTTTATTACGGTCCAAGTTTCACGGCCGTATAATCTTCCGTTTTTGCTATGTCAAAGGAGCATCGAGATCGTGAGACTTTACACCGTTGGTCTTTTTTGTGAGACTACACGAAATTTCAGGTTTTCGTGGATATACCATGCAGTCTTGAGCACTTGAATAACAGCATTCGTCAAGTTATGGCTGAGATATCGCCTAATATATGCCAAAAAGTGGGCTGGCAGAGCAGCCGTTTGAATGGTGTTTGACATAGTGTTTCACATATAGCGCCAAGGTTCAGACTTTATACAATAGTAAAAAAGAATTTCATGAAAAAAGTTATTTCAACGCATTTTACTCACGTTTATTTTCGAAACTACAAACACATTTAAATAAAACTCATTTTCAAAGAAGTCAGCTCCTTATTTTTATAAGCTTAATTGTGAATAAATACTATTTACCAATCAATTTAAGTATTGAACCCCATATACGTACGTACCCGTCCATTCTACAAAGCTTCAACTCATGGCCAAGCAACCATGAGCTTGCGCCGCTAACTTTTTAAGAAACACAAAATACCGCTAAGTTGAACACAATTAGCCTACTTTCAATTCTTCTGGCTATTTGCTGAATATGCCTGGCGCATCGCAACGCAATCGACATACACATATACATAATTTGCCACACACACAAACACACACACACTCGTACCAACGCGCTTATTATGCAAACATTGGTATTGAAGTGAAATTTCATTGGAAAATATCGATTTGAGTCAATGCAATTTTATTGTTAAAATGTTCAATAGCACAAAATGGATACAATAAAACTATGTAGATATGTACGAGTATACTGTATGTGTAAGCGAATATTTGTATCCCTCTATAGGTATATATGCATATATATATGTATGTATGTATGTATGTATGCAAATAGCTTTGGTATTTGTATTTGTATTTAATTTTGTTCAACAATCATTTCATAAGGATCCTTATAGTTTCACTGCCACTTTCAATACAAACTTCTAGTTGCTACAACTACAACGGCAACAACAACAATAAAGTGTAACATTTTTAAGTACATACTTAACAAGCCGCGAATGTTAACATGGTGAGCTAAAGATTTCTATATCGAATCGAAGTGAATGGAAGCGAATTGCATTGAATGGACGAAATGAAATGGAAGGGATATTTAAAGTGCAAAAGCATGAAAAGTAAATTGGTAGGCACTCACAACAAAAACATCACAGCACACACACCATACACACCACACATACAAATACTTGCAATTGTATGTATGTATATATACCTAATATAAAAAATAAAAATATACCGTAATAAAAGTGCGATAACAACGGCGCATATATATCGCTATATAAAGGGTGTTCATTCAGACGAGTGCTTTGCATGGCAGGTAATTTAATTTTATGACCCAGAATTTTGCTTTGCTATGAAGATAAGGGTTTGCCATTAGGTTTCAAAAATAATTCCTTCCAACTTTCGAAGAAATATGCCCCACTGATTCCTTCTTCTCACAGAGCACACCAAACAGAGACTTTTTAAGGATGTAACGGCGTCTTAGGAATGACGCTGCAAGTGTACCACCAACACCTAAAAGTTATCGAAAATTAAAAGTTGAAATTAAATTAAATTTTCTTATCCAATAGCGACCACCTCTCGGCAGCGAATGTCCACCCCTCCGAGTGTATTTCGGACATGAAAATCAAAAACTCCTCGTAAAAAACCACCAGCCGTTCGGAGGCGGCTTAGTATAAACTGTAGGTTCCTCCATTTGTTGAAAAAACATCAAGACGCAAAATCATAAATTGGAGGAGGAGCTCGGCCGAAAAATCGCTTCAGCGGTTACAAAGCGTCAATTATATAAATATATAATTTGTCAATTTTGTTTATTAACGTAGCCATTCAAACAAAAGTCGCTCAGCTTCAATTCGCACACATCCATAAAATGGATGGGCACAACTTCAATTGTTGCAAGCGATGGCAGAATCACTCATTCGGGTCTTCTTTGAAACTCTGCTCAACAGGTTTCGGGTTGCATATGACCGAAATGGCAAACCAGTGTGAGTATAAATCAAGTAAGAACTGTCTATAAAGCCTTGCTCCGAACCAACTAAGCCCTCAGTGAAAACCACACGTCTAAAAGGAATACCCTTTTCAGTGGATATGTAATAATCCACAAACACACAGACAAAACATTTAAATAATCATTTTGCAACGATTTCTCGCCTTCCTTTAATACCTTTTCACACTCGCTGTGTAAGCGGTGCGCTGTGAGCTCTACTGTGCTGTTGTGGCCCCATTGTGAAGCGTTTTGTGGGCACTACTTTTATTGTTTGTTAGTTGAAAAAGCTGCATCATTGCTTTTGTTGTTGCTCTCCTTCTTCTTCATCTTCAACATTTCTGACGTTGTTCTTGTTGTTGCAAGGCAAATGGCGAATTTGATGGCATCATTTGTTTGGCGAGTTCCTGTTAAGTTTAGTGCACTTAATACCCTTACTACCCACCACTACTACCGCCTCCCGGCACCCAGGCACCAAGACACCCAGACACCCGGAGCTCGCAGCTTCTGGTCGTCACGGCTCGAACTCTGACTGTGACTTTAGTAGCTCGAACTTCTACAACAAAGGCGTTTAGACGGGAGAGAGAGAGAGAAAGAGAGAGGGACGAAATGAGATTGAGATTGAAAGACACGGAAAGGGTCTGCAGCTTACATAAAGTATATCTCCTTCCATTGGTAGTCACTTTGAACAGCTGCCGGTAGAATAAATGAAGCATTTTCAAATAACAAACACAAAGAAGTGGCCGCAGGTTGTAGAGAGCGTGACGGGTGGAGGATATTTAAGCAATTGAAAGCAGGCGCGCGCTCGATTCGCTCAACCACAATGGCAGACCAACACCAAATAGCCACTAACACTGAGACCGAAACCGACACCAACTCAGACACCGACACCAGCTCAGACAACAACACTACCACCAACATCGACTCGGACACCGACACTATGAGTTGATCTCGTCCCTTTGATGTCCCCCACAGTTTCCGTCCGTCCGTTCGACTAAATAACGTAACGGCGTAGTTAAGCTGAAAAAAGTTTTTTTTTTCTCAAATGCGCGCTGACTGTAGCAGAATGCACTCCATTGTGAAGCACACTGAGCCAGCAAGCGAGCAACTGACCGGCCAACCCACCGAACAACCGCAGGGAATTGCTGTCAATTATAAATGTGGGTGCCTATGATGGCATCTTAGAGCCGTTGACTTTTGGGCGGTGTGAAAATGGCAAAGTTTGGATGATTTGAATTTAATTTTGTATTTATTTTCACTATTACTATTTGAGAAGCAGTCCACAAACAACAACAACTAAAAAGAAATAATGAAAAGCTTTATTAAAAATGTGCAGCAACAACATATATATATATATATATATTAATACTTTCACACGCAGCCACATATAAACATTTTAATATAAAGCAAGCTAGAGTTACTAACACACATCTCTAAATACATATATATATATATTTAATTTGTATGTATATATGCATAATTACAAAGCATTTGCGGCATATTTAAAGGCAGTTTAATTATTTTCAGATTTTCTGATTCTTTCTTGACTTTGTGAGTGTCTGTGTGTGTGTGCGTGTGTGTGTGTGTGTATATATTGCCACAGCTCATTATGGTAATTAATGTGTTTATATTTCCATTTCTACTTCGCAGATGTTTGGTTATACCAGCAAATGGGGCACTTGGTTCACATTAGTGCTGGTGCAGTTGGTGATTATGCTCGGTTTGGCTTGTCGCGTCTCTGAGTTTCCCTGCAAAGGCAATAACAACATTTGCATACCGTTGGACAAATACTGCGATGGACGTGTGGACTGTGAGGATCACAGCGATGAGCCGAAACATTGTTCGGGTGAGTAATTTAAGCATAAAGAAACTATAAGCGGCATTGGATTGCCGAAAAACTTTTAAATACGAGCTCCAAAATGTTGCTTCTTTATTTGGAAGAAAAAAGGGAAAAAAACATTTTAAACCTTCGGTCTTTGTTGTACGTCTTGGTAGTGACTTTTGTGCGAAGATTTTTCTCATTCGCAGTAGTTGATGTTCCTACCGTGGGCTGACTTAAGTAAAAAATCGAAACCTATGACTCTTCAGCTCATAGCACAAAATGATTCTATTGCGCGTTGACATCGGGAGGCTAAAAGTTCCATTCATGTTGGCATCTGCTTATAACATTAAAGCTCCTTCTCTTACATACGGACCCTGCATCACAGCACAAGTCTGTCATTTTTAAAAGGATTTTTGTATAACTTTGAGCTCCTCACATGACTACTGAGCCTATCTTTATATGTACCGTATAAAAGTTTCTCTTATTGGAGCCAAATTGAGAGACAAGCTTATTTAGCTACAGTAAAGCAAAGAGATACGACTATTGACATGCGCTCAAGATAGACAATAGTTCCTCTGACTCTTATTACTGAAACGAATATATTTGAGATTATAAACAAATCACAAGAGTTTTTGGTTCGCTTACTATAAAATCAAAAATTTTGCTGAACGAACTGTAAGGCAGGTTACCACCAAGCAGACTCTTCTCGAAAAGCACCATGAGCATTGACTGGCTACTGCGGCAATCAGAAACGTTAGATATTCCTCTTAAGATATATTGTAGAAACTGTAAGAATGACAAGGAGGAAGAAACGATCTCTCTTCTTTTGTGCCACCGTAGTACCTTGGGTAGTACCAGCTATAATTGGGGAGCACTTATCTAAGGTAGCAGACGTAAACAATTAAAGAGAGAACGTAGTGGATGCACAGTATAGACCAGTAGTCTGGTCAGCATATACATATATATCCAAAGGACTATCGACCTCGTCAATATTTTCAAAAAGTACACCAATGTTAAAGTTTAGTCTAGGTTATGTAGGGACTCCACTTAATCCTAGCACAATAGTGTTATAGCTATCCGTTGCTAAGCTACATTATCACATTAACCGTTTTCTGAGGTATTTGGAATAAGTCTACAATAACGGTGTATGTTAAAGCGTTTGGCTTCCATCGCTCGTCAATATTAGTTCTGATATAAAATCTTAAAAATATCAACCTCAGCTATGCAAGCACAACACGCCGCTTGTGATTTCAACAACTTCCGCTTCTTGTTTGTCGAATGATCGAGAGCTGCATAAACTTGAAAGTCTATGCATTAAAAAATGGCCTTATACCTTAAACTCCGTGGCCAATATACTCCGTTGAAGAGAAAACACCGATTTGATGCCACATGGCGTTAGCTAGGCGACACACTGGTTTTCAAATTACGGATTAAGGCAATGCAGAGAGAGATAAGTGGAATGCCTTCCGCACAAGTCTCTTTTTAACGAACGAAATCCTCATAAAGCAACTTAAAAATAGCTTTGGTTGCATGGAGCCAGTGAAGTGCTTTGGAAAAGACTCTATCAATAGACTGTTCTATCTTCTCTGTGCGCATAAGAACGCCTAAACTAGTGTACATTCAGTGGGATATTTTGTAGTTTTTTTTACGAGTATTTTAAGGCTCGAGTCCTGGTCCGACCAACATCCAAAATTATAAACAAATAAGTTTTCTAATTGCGGTCGCTCTTGGTCGGCATCCCCTCCGAGTGGATTGCTGACATGAAAATCAAAGCTTCTCGTAGAAATCCATCGGCCGTGCGATGGCTGCTTAGATTGAACTGTAGAAGAACATGAAAACGCAAAACCACAAATTGGAGTAGGAGCTCGGCCTAAAATCGCTTCCAACGTCACTAAGCGCCAATTATATATTGTATATGTATATGTAAGTATATAAATTAAATCTGTACTGCGAACAACTTTTTCTTCCCCCACAGAAGTCTGCAAAGATTCCATATGTCGTCAGCAAATATAAATAATAATTAAATGAAAATTTTAAATCCGAAGACGAAAAAAAAATTCGAACAAGAAGCGCATCGACATTTTACCTGTTATGAGAATATTTATTTGTTATTTTATGTGGAAAAAATTTGTTGTAAGACAACAATTTTATTGTATACTTACCGACCGCATTGCCACGCCATTTTAATATATAAATTATTTATTTTCAATTTGCAGTTTGCAACCGAACTTATTATGGTGACGTTGGCCGCACCTATACATTAAAAGTACCAACACCACAATGGAACCGACTGCCTTTTTTATGTCACTTAACATTCACCGCTTCTGGGCGTGAACAAGGCGATATTGTGCAAGTAAGTGAAATGCATGTATAGGCACATACATATATACACATACATATATATTGAGTATTGCTTTCAAATTTACACACTACTACTATTTATAAACTCTCATGAAAAAAACAACCAAAGTTAACATGTACGTATGTATGCACATGTCACACATGCACACATACACACACATGGCGGAATGTGCCATTTAGGTTGGATACTCCTGTAGAGTCAGAAAATAAAATTTTTAAACTACACCTTAACCAACACCTGCAATATATGCAACACTTAAGTACGCATACAGATGTACACTCTTACATTTTTATATGAATGCATTGAAATTAAACATATTCATACTTACATACATACACGTGTATGCGACTGGCTGTGCATTACTAATATCCTCCAATATATAATATATATAATAGATGTATGTAAGTATGTGCGATTATTTGCTTTTGTATTGCTTTAAATAAACCTAGTTTATATTTAAAACATACATATGTATGTGTGTGTGCGTGTGTGTATGTGTGCGTTCAAAATGTAATATTCAAATAGAAATAAATACAACTTTTCCATTTCTTTAGATTATTTTCGATAGTTTCACAGTGGGCCGCTTTGACGAGGGTATGGTCGACTCAGATGTTGAAGGTTATGAGAGTAATGTGAATCCTATCGGAGAGCTGCCGGGCTGTCCTGAGGGCTTTATGCAGGTAAGTTTAAGAATTATGATATTTAAATTATTTATGAAAATATTGGAAATTTGAAACTTGTATTCCACGCACATGCTCATATGTACATATTTATATTTTGTTTTCATTTTATTTAACTACAGTTAAGCGAATTGGGTCGTCCATTCACTGGCGGCTCATGGTGTGGGAAGGCCACTGGTCCGCAATTGTACTTTAGTGAAACAACGACGGTGACAGCGTCTGTAAAAGTAAGTTTATTGGGTTTAACTGCTTTTTTAATACTTAAATATTCATTATTAATCTGGATTATTAAGAACAAAGAACAAGGAAAATAGAAAATAAATGGCATAAGTTTACCAGATTTGTGTCCTTCTTTATTGGCATAGCCACCAAAATCAAACAGTTCGCTCTGCTCCTTTTAACGACGTAGAAGGGTTTCTCTTCCTCTGCCTACCCCAGTGGGTACTGCATCAAATACTTTAAAAGCTAGAGTGATTTCATTCTCTGATTAGCAAACCCATTCCACTCGCTTCTTTATCACATCTGGGGAGAGCAGAACTAATGGCGCAGTTGTTAAAGCCTATAATATTGAGTCAAAGACATAAGTGTACGTCAGCAATCTTGAAAATAATTGCACCCAGTCTGTTTAGCTCCTGCAACATACGGCTAGGAGAGGTCCTTCTCTATTCTAATTTCGCTTCTGGTATTATCCAGCGTCAGTTTGCACAGCCGGCGTAGAGGCAGCACCTTATTGTGCTGTCGAAATCGATAAAATTATGGTGTATTTCGAATCTTTTCTCACGGATCTTTAGCCTAGACTTGATGCATGTCGAATTTCTGGTTAATGATTGCTTTAACAGATCTTCAGCCAGACTGACAAGTTCGAATCAGTTAACTGAAGGTAGACTTTAGTCTTTCGTACAATACGCTCGCTAAGATCTTATACGTATGTGAAATGGAAGAGGCTTATCCTACGATAATTGGCGCAGTCCGTGGGGTTTCTCTATTTATGGATTAAACAGAGCAGACTCAAATCCAAATTGAGTATGCTTTTTTCTTAGTCTGAAGCTGATAGATGCAATTTTTCTGTTCTAAGCCCCCATTTTTTAATAACTCTGACGGTAAGCAGTCTTCTCTAGCTATTCCTGTGGTTTCATTGTCGTTCAGTAGGCTGCAGTAGGCATTTGAACTAATTTCTATTTTTGCCGTCGAATGAGTCTTACTTCTCTCTTGAGCTCTCATTATTTATCCCATCCCGCACGTGTTGTGGTTGAGCACAACATCCCGAGGAAGGTATCTCCTTTCCTCTCCATTGCATTTTGACACTCCTCATATGTACCAGCTCTTATTCTAGTGCTGTTGAAAAGCAATAGTTTTTGTAGTGCCGGTACGTAGGGAGTTTGAGATGTCATTCCGTAATTCTCTCATGTGGAGTTGCATTTATTTTTATAATTTTTTGCTAACGAAATGTTAAATTTTTTTTCTAGGTGTTTCATCCGCCCAAAAATATACACGAAGAGAAGCCATTCGAATTTAAAATACGTTATAAATTTATCAGTCAAACCGATGCTGTGGTGAGGTATGTATGGATAGATATATACCATTAAAAAATTATACTCTCTACGAAACTTTTAATTTTCCCAACACACATCTTATGGTGCTAACGATCATAAATTTTTAAAACAATTTTTTACTGAAATTTTTTGCAAAAGGAATTAAATTTTAGCTATAAATTTACTAGCATTAAATTCAATTTACTGATTATTGTTTTTAAATTTAAAAAAAAAAACCGTCCTTAAAAGTAAGCTTTGTCAATAACTAATAATTTTGCCAAAATCTTCAGATAATGTTTCATTTTTTTTTTTTTCAATATTTAATTTGTTTCCAATCGCCTATAGATACGGTTTGCCCGATAAGCCTTTGGAATTGGGACGTGTTACACCGGGAACTTATTGCACGCGTCAATTCGATGAATGTTATCGAAATAAATGCCATTTGCAGAGTCCAAATTATCCTGGCATGTATCCGAGGAATGTCACCTGCTATTGGACTATAAGACAAAAGGAGGTGCCGACAAGCAAACATGCCATGATTGCGGTTAGTCAAGAGAATCAACACAAAGCACTGGTGAAAAGGTAAAAAAAACATATCTATTTTAATATCCGTTTTCATTCATTTTTAAAATTTAATAAATGTTGACTACATTTAATCTAATTTTTTTAACTTTAATGGACAATTCCGAATATTTTAAGAAGTGAATAAATTTCATTCTTTTTACAAACTCCAACTTGACATGGGCAAATGTTGTACTATATTATTCTGTCTATTTTATTCCTTCAATCACAAATCCAGATCTATTGCCAGCTTCAATAAGACATCGCGTTCCATTCGTGCGTGGTCAGATTGTACCGGCGAACGTGATCATTTAATTTTCTATGACGGCAGCTCAACAAATGATCCGGTGTTGGCCAAATATTGTGGAGGAGATTGGTTGCCACGCGTTGTATCGCGGTAAGTTTAAAAGGCTACATTATACTGAAATTAAATTTATTTATTCTGTAATTCGTATTGTTATTCAATGCATACTGTAGTTGTTGAAGATTGAGCCAATAAAAGTATGGTGAACCGAGGTGTTGTGTAATACCAAATTTAAAAACAAATCATTGTTTCGGCGATGGACGCCTTTAATGGTCCGTATCTCGCGTTCTATAAGTGTGATTGGATTACTCAATACGTCATTAGAAAGAGAATATTTTGTACGAAAAGAGATAATGAAAGAACTGTTGATCACTTAACTTAATAACTTTTGAACGTTGTCTTCTAAAAATTGTATTGGTTCATGTGAAAAGTGTTTATAATCCTCACACTTTAACCGTCAATCAAACAATTTTGGTGTCAAGAATGCTCTGCGGTGTGAAAGGCTAGTTGTCGAATATATCGATAAAATAATAGAGTTTGGCCGTCATGCGAGCACTATTTCACTTCGTGCTATCATAACACAAAAAGGTCATATGCCTTGATCCTTTTCTCAAGGGTCTTTACAAGTATTTATCAGTATTTCGAACTCATATTCGGCTCGAGCGGTAAGCCATCAACTTCCACCACTTAGTTATTCTTAGGCATGCAATTGTAACTCGAACTTAATCATTGTTGTGTAATTAGATTTTTATTCCAACATCAACGATTTGAGAATCGGGTACACCGTCTCGGGGTGTTTCGATTTCACTACAATTAAGAGTAGTGTTATCTTCGTAATACTTTAGACATCAGTTCTCAGATGACGTTTTTGTATCTATGCAGAGTAGAATCCGATTTCGAAACCTTCTGTGAGTGACAAAATTTCCTCATAGAATTTTCGAAATTTACCGCCGTCGACTAGTTTCTAAAGTTCTTCAATATCACTGTAAATTGCTAAAATGTGGGCCCGGTGTTAGTAGCTTCAAAGAAAAAAAGGAAAATCATATTTGAAACGTTATTGAAGGTAGCTTTATGTAATAGATTAAGTAGAGATTGATAAAAAAAATGTTTTTTTCTTTCAGCGGACCAGAAATGTTGGTTGCATTCCATTCCAGCCCCTTCTCAGCACCACTGCAACAGGGTGTTCCCAATCGTGGTTTTGAACTTGATGTTGATATCATCTTTACAGATTCTGATTCATATGATTTTGCGCAAGGCACCAAGAATACCTGTGAATTTCATATAAATGCAACAAATCCAGGTGAGTTTTTCAAGTTATTTTCATTTCGGCAAGAATTGAGCTTTACTCATATGAAAAATTATGGGCTATTAATATATGTAAGTAATTCGGCCAATAAATAAAAAAAATTTTAGAAGCACAGCAAAAGAGAGCTTTTATCCTGACAACTTTCTCAATAATTACTAGCGTTGCAGGAGCTACTGCGCCTAAAAATATGCTCACAAAAAAATTGTAAATATTAGAAACAACAAAAAACACTAAAATGTTTAGGAAATGAAGGAGGAAAGGATTTGTGAGGTTGTTCAGCTTGAAGAAAAAACGTTCTGGATTGGATTTTGTGAGAGTTGTCAGAATAAGGTTACAGAAATATTCTACATAATTATTTCGCAGTTATGTTTTTATTATCCCGCAATACATGTCTTATTACAATACATACTTGTACATGTGTATTTTGCAGATGACGTATTGTTTTCACGGCGCGGCCGCATGGGTCGCATTGTGAGCCCGCGACACACATTACCACCGAACACCACTTGCACATACCACTTTCATGGCTATCCTGGTGATTTAATTTGGTTGTCCTTCACAAGTTATAATCTCCAGATATTACAACAGACTATTCAAGACAACAACACACTGGGCAGGGTGGGTTTGAATATATTTCTTTAGGTTTCTTTTTCTTAGTTTTCAATAACTTTTTTTTTATTTAATCGACCTCCTCCAGGCCGACTTGCCACCATGGATAACACGTTTGCGAATGTGGGATAGTTACGGCACGTATGTTTCTTCAAAAACTACAACAACAACAGGTCAACCACCATCACCACCACCAGTCGTATCATCTGCTGCCGGCGGCAAACCAACAACGCTCAACCAAAGTTCTTACGGCAATTACTATTATAGCGCACATAACCCAAAATTGGGTAAGAATATACGCGTTAATATAGACAATGCATGGAATCCAGTCGACACATACATTTATGGGCCCACACAGTCGAGTATATTCAACAGTGAAAATAAATACAGCGGTTATCAGCAAGCTGGCGCTGTTGCGGGTGGCAAGCAGAGCGGCAGCGTCGTCAATGGCGGCATAAGCGGCATTAAGGAGAGTCTAAATTATATTTCCGGTAAGAGTAGCAAAGATTCAACGTCAGCTGAGAAGACGTCTGTGTCGTTGATGAGCTCGAAGGGCAAGCGTAGACTGATGTTGGAAATTTACGATTATGAAACACCAAAGTTGTGCGATCACACTGCCATTAGTAATAATGCTTTGGGTTTCAACAAGCTGAGACCTTGTAGTCCACTGGAGAGCTATGTTAGTTCGGGCAGGGATTTGGTAAGTAATGAAAGACGAAGAGGTATTGCGACACTTCGCATTACCTGCATAGGCTTAATGCTGTTCTAAGGAAGTCTCGATAGAGTAATATATTTCATTCTGCTTTCAGAAACTGGAGTTTCACACTCACACTGGCACTGCGTTGTTCCCTGCGCAGTTCTCACTCAATTACGAATTCGTCGACACGGAACAAGGCGGTGAGCCATGGCCCGGTCGTCGTGGCGAGGATCCTGTACCACCACTCTGTTCGCGTGTATTTCGCAAACGTAAAGGCAACATACAAGTGCCACGTAATGTGTTTCTTTATGGACGTGGTGGCGCCAAAAATATCACCTGTCTTTATCGCTTTGAAGCCGGTTCATCGGAACGCGTGCGCTTGGTTTTGCACAATGTCACCTTTGGTGAGGGCACTACATGCACGACAGATTCAGATTTACACACCGGGCGACCGCGTTGTAATCAACTCGACCCAGAAGGACGCGTAACCGAGCTACGTCTATTCGATGTGCCATTTCGTGATGTCAAAATACAATTGGGTTGTTTCTGTGACAATTCTAGTACTTTATATAGTAATGCACCGTTAACATTTATATCTAATTCACGTGTTATGGAGTTAACATTTACCGTTAATCGTTTAAATATATCAGAAGATTTTGCTGATGTCTACTTTTTCGCCTCCTATGAGTTCAAACGGGTTAGTGAATGTCGCAAGCGACTTAAACTGAAGGGCTCTGGTGGTGAAGATGAAATTAAGTATCCTATGAAATCACAAGATTCTAGTTGTGAGGGACTATCGTGGTGTATAGAAGCACAAACGCTGGAACATTCACTCTTCGTACAGACTTGGGGCTCTTACTTGCCCGTCGATCCGACGTCAGAGGATGCTATGCGTTGTCATACCAAAAACCGCCTAATCATATACGCGGGAAGACCCTTAAAGCCGATGCGTGTCATATGTCCGGCGCAGAGTGGACCCAGACCGACTTCGTTGCATATATTCTCGGAGGATTGGACAAATGGACAGCCGTTGTTTACGAATAAGTGAGTATAATGAAGATAAAGAAATTTAAATTTAAAAAATATAACAAAAAATATTTTTTCTTTTACTTTTTTCTTAGGCCTGTCAGCTTAGTACTCGAGCCCATACTCAAAGAGCCGGGCGATATCGCATTCACATGGTTGGAGATATATCGCACACGAAATTCCTTAATCCAACAGTTAGACCTTCAGGCTAATGCCAGTGTTATGAGTGGTGGCGCGCCTTCTGGTAACGACACGCTAACCGATATCGGCTTCTATCCGAAGGAGTCCGATTGTGAATATAAATGCCCTGAACTGGATGCGTGCATTGCGGGGAATTTGTGGTGTGATGGTGCGTAACTCTTTTTATCTTTATGGACGCCCATAACACTTCTTATAATACGTCACAAATTTTATAACGTTCTTTTATTATAAAATTTTTTTTTCTATTTCTACCTCCTTCAGGCCACAATAATTGCCCTTCCGGATTTGATGAATCAGAGCAGGAGTGCGGCTCTGCGCGTAAACTACTCGAATTGCCTGGCGGCGTTTTCGCAGCGTTGGGCTGTATAGCTGCCGCCATCACAGCCTGTTTGATATTTTGTATTTTTGGTTTGCTGAGAAAACGTAAAAAAACGGTCGGCCAAAAGATGACCATAAATGGTACACTCAAAAAGGACTTCAACAAGGAGTCACTCTTCATCGATCCAGCTTCTTGACACGGGCTACAACCGGTCGAATATATACATGTTGATCGGGAAACGACTGTGTGATATGTTGCCGATGATGAATTTTAGTGCTGCTATTGCTGTCGCTTTAACATAACGCCAACGTTGTGCACGGAGAGGGGAGTGGGGGCATACGTTGAGGATGATTGTACTATATCGATCCAGCATGCATGACCCAAGTGTATTGTGTATTGTGTGCCCTAATTAAATGATATACTTACATACATATATAAATATAAGGAATTTTTCTAAGCGCTTGTTTTCAAAAACAAAAAGAAAAACAAAAAGAAAAGAAAAAACATAAACAGAATACGTGGTAAATGAAATGAAAAGATGCAGCTCGAAATGAGCAATGCAGATAAGCAAAATTAAGATAAGAAAACGATACAATCACTGCCTTTTGATCATACTTCGTCTAATCGTTTTCCTTTTAACATACAAAGAAAACCCAAAAATATATTTGTATATATATTTTACTAACTGAAATCTAATTTTTATTAACAATTAATAACTGCACTGTGAAGGGGGCTCGCAAAACGAGTGTATTTGCGAAATGTTGGAAATGAACCATTTTTAGATCGATATATAAATATTTAAAACTTTTATAAAATACATGTACAAATGTATATTTACTTTAAAATTTTTTAAACAATTTCGAATATTGCAGCAGGCTGTAGCGACATTTTTAGATTTGGAATGTCTTGGAATCCATTCTGAAAAATGTTGCCTACCTCTAGGCGTGTTGGTACAGTTCACAATATTTAATATAAAATTTAAGAAATTATAATAGCTTTCTTAAATATAAAATTTAATAAAAAAACATTCTACTAAATGTATGTAAGTATAAATTTTATATTCCGCTTCAGCACAGATTTTTTTTTGTAACCTTCCAAGTTGTTGCATAATACTCTTTGTAACAGTATGCAATATACTTGATATTAAAAGCCATATTACAATAGTTTATTTTTTGAATACTAATATTTATAATTTCCCTATACCTTTATTTTGTACACCAAAAACAGCAAACAGAGCACTCTAGACAATTAGCAATAGTGGTGCCAAAATCCAAATACCCAATCAAGGGTTCTTACTTCGTTAATTAGCTAAATAATTTGCTAAGCATTCCATTCTCCTTTAAGAAGTTCAGTAAAAATAAAATTATAACTGATTGAAAGCATGACATGCGTATAAAAAATTATTATTAAAAATTGAGAATTTAAAAAATTTCCCAACAAGCATACGCGAGCCTTCGATTCTCAGCAGGTTTATTTGATGAGAAGATATTTACCTAAAATTAATGAGAATCCACAAAGCATTTTTAAAAAAAATTATTTTTAATACACACTTTTTAGAAACGACATAATTCACATTTATTATTAGTTTTTCACACGATTGGGCATTTTGAAAATATTGAAATATTAATAATGCAAATTTATGTACTTTTAAGCTATAAACTTAAGTATCGATAGCGTTGTAACGAGTATGTCCGAATGCAGCGAAAAAAGGTTGAAATAGTAATAAAAAAAAAAACAAAGCAAAAAATAAAAAGAAAACACACAAAAAAACTATTGTAAATTAGGTACCTTTTAATTAATGGCATGAAAACTAGGTAATAAATATTAGGGGAAATGACAAACGAAAACAGAAAAAGTGGGGAAAAAATCCGAAAAACACATTGAACAAACTAAAGAAATTTTATTAATAATACAATTATTATTCAGCCATTTTCAATCAAATATTTGAAAGCGAAACCAAACAAAAAAAAAAAAGAATATGAAAAAAAAGTTCGTAAAAAAATTACAAAAACAAAAACGTAGCGGAGTAACGAATATATGTGCTCACTTACTACCTATTGAAAGTATTGTAGTTTAAGAAACTCACCACACCAATGGCGTAGCCTAGTTGGCAAGCAGTAAAAACGCAAATGTATGTATGTACGAGTATGTAAGAATTGCCAATTGTTATGAAAATCAAAACCACAAAAAACATGAAATGAAAAAATAGAAATAAAAATAAAAATAAAAATAAAAATAAAATAATGAATTTACTTAAATGCTGTTCAAAAAAGGCAGAAAAAAAGTTTAAATCGATTACGAAATTCAGTTAAATGCCTGAACTACGGGTATGAATTTAAATGTATTAAAAAATATTCAAATATTATCCTTTTATTTTCAAATAGTTTTGCGTATATTTTTAGGTTTATTCGCATTTTAAATTGTATTTTAATACTAAACATCTAATATGTAAATATACAAATTTTATCGAAAACTTTCAAAATGTTGCCTTGGCGTATGAGTAACACATTTTTTATTGCATTAAATAACTATTTTAATGTGCATTAAATGAAAATCAAATATTTTTATATCTTTTATTAATTTTCCTTATAATCGGTTTCAAAATTTTTTTTAGCCTAAATTAACAATGAAATCTAACTGATAAAATTTACTTGTTTTCAAAAATGCATATTCAGAAATAAAGTTTTTAATAGCATAATTTTCTATTCTTATATACGGTTTATAAAATTTTTGAAAATAATTCACTTTAATTTGAATTTTTGGTTTTTAAAATCGTAGAAAAAAATTCGGGTTTTCAAATTATAATTTTTTTTAATATTCACATAATTTTGAATTTTCGAAACTTTTTTCTAAATATTCGCATAAATATTATATTTTTCGATATTTGAAAATATATGAAAAAAGATGTTATTTTAGAGTTTTCAATTTCTTTTAAAATTTGACAATTTTCATACAAAAATTGAATTTAATTAAATGAATTAAAATCCCGAACGTGAACAACAAAGATATAAGTCTGTTGTATGTATGTATTTATGAGAATAGTTTCATTTATAGTATTTTAATCAATTAAAAGGTCTTCTTCACTTTCCATAATAATGCAGTAAATATACTCATAATTTCTTTAAGACTTATAAAAAATTGCACTAAAATGTGCAATATCTGCATTTATGTATGTATTTATACTGTAATATTTATAATAAGTTAAAAAATGCAATATATAATTATTTATAAGCAAATGTAATTTTTATGTCATTTTACTAAAAATAACTCAAAATAGTATTTTCCTTGTTTTTATATAAGAAAACTAGACATGTTTTGTAAACTCCACATAGTTTTCACAATAAATGGTATTTAGCTCTAATATAAAAAACTTTATATATTAATATTAGTTTTGAAAAAAAAAGAATAATTTATTCATCTACAAAATGGACTTAGTTTACTTGTTAATTAATTTTAAATAAAACAAAATTTTAAGGTATGAATTGATGTACATTGCAAAAAATCTGTACTTTTAAGCATTAAATTTTTTTTTCAAAAATGCTTTTAAAATTATATATAAATATATTTATCTTTATAGAATGTTTTATGTAAATACTAACAGCCAATGAAGTAAGGAAAAATGTATACTACATTAAATACTTAAGTTCATTTTTTATATATCTTTTAATATTTGTTATTGTATGTACAGTGATGTGAAACAGGCCATATATTGTGCCACTAAAAAAGCCAAAAATGAAAAAGAAAGCAAATAGAACTTTAATTAAGTACTAATTAGTCTTAAGAGTAGTAGAATATACATATATACATATATATTATCTAGGGCACAAAATTAATTGTAGAAAAACACGCGAATTATTAGTGTAAATGGGAGTGTTGCGGGCATAGTGTTGGCAGCTGTTACGAGCAAGTTTTGGTTTTGCAAGATAATAAGTTAAGTCAAATACCAAAATAATATATTGAAAAGAGTATATTCAATATATCATTTTGGTATTTGATTTAACTTATTATCTTGAAATACCAAAAAAAATAATGACTACTTTACTTTAACGAACTGATTGTACTTTCACAGATTAACAGAGAAAAATTTTATTAAGATTTATTATTATATTAAGTTATTATTATTTTAATTACTTTAACTTTGAAATGATTTCAGAACATCTTGACAATTTATTTAGATTTAAAAATATGTATAGTATTTTAATTTCCCCAGGTCAGGCATAGATCTTCAGATTTATTAGGTTTATTACATTATTATTTTATTATAACTTATAAACTATTATAAAGCCAAACCATCCCAAAAATGTTCTCAATTGGTAATTTGCGCTCAAAGCAACTATTGTACCAAATTTTATGTAAATTTTATGTAAATCATTTCGATCGACTACCAAGAAAATTCTTTCTCATCGAGTGCATAGTTTCAGGTCTCTATGACTATTGGTTTCGAGTGTGAGTTGATACGACAGTCATTCGGGACAAAACATTTTAAACGTATAGAGAATATATAAAAAAATAGTACATTATTTATCATAAATACACTCTAAATTCAAATCGTACAGAGACTTGATTGCATAGCTTTCGAAAATCGAATGCCAAATAAATGATGTCATGATCTCCTTCCAAATTGAACTAAAAAAATTAAAAGCATTTGAAATTTTTATATTTTTTTTTCGAATTTGCTGTTTTCGAATTTTATTGAATACTTATTCTTCAGAAGTATACATAGCTTGACATTTTTGTTTTTATTAAATTTTAGATTTACTCGTCCATAAGTGTTTTAAATATTTGCTGACATTGTAATATTAATTAATTATTTGTTTAATCCCATTGTTTATTATTGTATTACCTATTGTATTAATTTTGTTTCTAATTTCTTAATTTCTACTTTTATTGTTGGTTATTTCACTTATTATTATTTATTACTTTTTTTATTTTATAATTTTTGTTATATTAAATTTTAATATTCTTATTTCACGACTGTTTTTTCTCTTCTAAAAACTTATTTGGATTTTTGAAAGCCTGTTTATCACGCAAAGAAAGATATTTTTTGTATATTTAATTTTTTATATTTTTTATTTAAAATCAAAATTTCCCCAATAACTAAACTCACTCTGCCAAAAACACCACCCTTTTTACATATGTATATACGTACACATACGTTATACAAATGTAAAAAAAAATATATGAATGAAAATAAAAAGAAAATCTCGAAAGTGTTGTGACGATGATGCACGTATGTAAATCTTATGTTATACGTAAATAAAGTTTTATATAATAAGATATACACTAACATAGTGAATGCATACAAACGTACATACATTAATACAAAATAAAAACTTACATGCATACAAGTGAATTTGAAAGAATAAGAATAAGAATAGCACTCAATTACGTATGTACATACTCACATACATATGTATGTACCAGAGTACGTATAAGATATATAAAAAACAAAAACAAAAAAAAGTATAGCCAAATAAGTATACATTTGTCGATGCAAATTGAGAGCAATTACTACATCTACATTCATTCAAAGAAACTTACATACATACATGCATATATGCATACACATATACATATATGTGGTAAATGCATATATATATATACAAACGCATACCGTACGTAAATACGTTTATACATACATATTATAGTAAACCCCTGCACTTGTCTTGCTGGGCAAACGATGACGTTGAAGACGTCAACGCTGACGGCGACTACTTTGGTCTGTTGTATTATTAAATAAAATAGATTATTATTTATATAAATATATAGTACATATAAAATAATATAAACAAAAATGCACCACACCTACGAGTAGATAACCAAACCTTAGTGAATATAAAAGAGATGATGTTTCCAGCATAAATGTTTTAAAAACATATAATAAATAGTTCATATATAATATAAATACATATATATACATATATATATATATATAAAACAAAAGGCAAACATCACAAAAAATAGGCAAATAAAAACACACGAAAAATTCGACATATTTATTGGTTTAATTTTTAATAAAACGGTAAACATACGTAAGTATGTAATATATAAGATATAAATAATATGATATATACAAATATTTAAATGGCTCTTTGTATCCATTGAAGGTATTTTAGGATGGCTGCTATTTGCATTCCTATGGGAGCTTTTGTTTGAAGTCACAAATACACTCGGACAGCTTGGTACTCCCTATCGAGGAGCGACCGCAATTGGAAAAATTAATTTTCTTTAATTTTCGATGCTGGTCCTACCAAGACTGAAACCTTTAGGTTGGATATGCGTGTATAATAACAATTTAGCAATAATTAATTTTAAAATTATTAAAAAAAAAAATAATATGAATTTTATTATATTTTTATATTTTTTTTAATTTCTAAAATTCCTAAAAATTTTCTAACCTATCTAAAGTATGAGTCGAATCTCTCCGCGAGATGGACAAATTTAGGTCTTCCATCAATTTCGATTTTTTAAGCGAACTAACCTCAAAAAGCGACCTTTGACATCCTGAATGATATTTCTGATGGGTCAAGTATTCAATACAATTTTTGCGGCTTACGAAATGGTTAAGTTACGGTTTAAAGAAATTTGGGAATATTGTGACCTACATACTTCCAAAATGGCGAGTCTTCATACTTAACTGGTAAAATAATCTTATGTTACCGCCTTGCAGCTGTTTTGACTCCGTTGAGCTTTTTTTTTGATAAAAATCGATTTGGATAAGAGCTACGATTCATGACCAGAAAGACGTACAAAAAAATTGTTCGGAGACCATCCTTTACCTGCCAATCCATTGAAAGGCTTAAAAGACTTCAACAAAATATCTGAGAAAGTGTTTGCTTTATTCCCTTTGAACGTACCGTCAGCTTAAAGGACACTATCTTGATTATCTGATAGCTGATGGATTAAGCTATTTTATAGCGAAAAAATTTCGATCTTCGCTTCCCAGTATGAGGCTTTTCTCTTTGAGTCTTAAGCTAATTGCGTACTCATCTCAAACCTTCTCCTATAAGTCGTTGTCTGGAACTTTTGAATTTTTTAAATTCTTCTTGAAAGGTTTTTCGAAATAGTGTTGTTGTTGTTAGTATATGTCGTCGAGGTCATCTAAAAGATCAGAGAGTGTTGGGTGTTAAATGAGTGAGCATGCAAGGATTTAGTTGGTGTCGTTGGGAAACTTATTGCATTCAGTAGAGACGTTAAGAATGTCGTGTGATGCAGCTCGATCTCACCGTGATTGGATTCCAAAGATGACAGTAACGAGAAGAGAGTTTATAAATGTGTTGGCTTCGGTTAATGGGTTAGGCGTGGGGTTCTGTTAAATTTCTATACTCTTCGAATATATTTTCTCTAAAATTTTCCAGCATATGGCTTAAAGTCATCTTTTGGTTCGAGGAGTGGCCTGAAAAAGATTGTTTCATGGGGCTGATACATATCAGCACGGATGCTTCCAGACATAAGCTTGGGTTGGCATTCCTGTGGTATTTTAACATTTACCACAAGGAGTGAACAAAGGGTGTGGCATACCTAGGAGTGCTCTCAGAGGGATGCAACCGTTGTTATTAAGAAGTAGTAAAATAAATAATAATACAAACTTCAGGATTAGTTTAAAAACTGGAACGTAAGGCGTTTTAATTCACATTCTTTAAACATAAGCAAAACACCATCCCATAATAACTGCAGCATTCATTGGTATCTCAAACTCTTATAAAATTCGATAGCGGTATTGTTCTATTGCGAAAATTCTTATACATATATTCCTTAAGTCTATCGCACACATGAGATTAAGGTTTTCCGATTTCATGATGTAAACCATCTTCCGAGAGCTGTGAAATTGCGAAAATATAAGATTTGCTAAAAACAAGCTCCGAACGTAGAAGGAGAAGGAGACTCAGTAGTACTTACGAATACAGCTTCTATTTCGAATTCGCTTTCATCATCTTTAAGGACATGCAACGCGAAGTATGAGCACTAAAACTATTAAACAAAGTAACACCGTGATAACTGTAAAACGAAAGGCAACTAAAAGATCCATTCCGATAACCTATGAAACATTCTAGTTTAAAAATTTAATTGAACGAAATTACATTTTGACAAATATTTCTCTGTTTCCTTATTTCAAAGGAAATCTAGGCAAGTTAATGTGAATTATAAAGAAAAAAAGCAAGAAGAAAGATAACAAAAATCTCGTTGTGCTGGCATCAAGGACGCGACATTCGTAGTATCTATTCCAAGCCGCGAATTATCCATATTTGCCTTTTGCTTTGCTTTTTTATCTACACAAGAAACGGGAAATTTTACAATTACATATCAAACAGATGGCATCTCTGCTATTTGAAATGTCTGTCAAAAATGCGAAAATCATAACAAAGGATTGTGACGAAGAATATTCACTTTCACTACAACAATTGGGCTCATATTTCCTAAACAAGCAGGCATATGTATGTCTGTACATAACCTGCAGGACAAAATACTAGTTGTTATATAGAATCCAATAAGTTAGCGTTTTCCACTAACTTTTTAATCCTCTAACTATTTCTCTTATATGCAACTGTTATGCATATGTTTGTATATAATAAAATTTGTTTAGTAACAGCTTCGTAGAACAGTGTTATCCATTAGCTCCCAACATAGAGAGCTGTGCTCAAAAACTACTGCGGAAGACCGTTAGAGGATCAGAATGCTATGGGAAATTATGCCTGGGAAATTTGGACTAGGGATCTTCTAGTGCCCAGAATATGAGAAAAGAAGCTTCAGGCAGAAGTTTAAAACATTTTTCGTTTCTTTTTTGACTTAAAATGTTTAGCCTTGCCTAGGAGCAATTACTAAATACAGCAAACATGAACACCAGTAATAAAAAAACCAAGAAACAGAAAGGCAACAGCGAAAACAACAAATTGCCAGGCAGCCTATAGCAGTCTCTGATTAAGTTGTCCTCCTCGGATTTGAAAATCAAAAGTATTTTCGATTAAACCAATCACAAATCACTGGAAGTGAATATCCAAAGCAAAGAGGCAGAATCGAATACCAAACAAAAGAAAAGCAAAAAAAATATCTTAGTCCATTTGAAGAAATGATGTTAGCATACCAGACGATCCTCAACCTTGCAAGAAGATACACATCCCAGTTGATGAACAAGAAGGTTAGTCGATTACGAATGAAACGAGCAATCAGATAGAATCTCTGGAAAGCATATATACTTACTACAGCAAAGATACCTCCGATCCCTTCAACACCAGAAGAAGTTTTGGACAGTGCGACTCCTTATCATGTGGCCCTTTTAGTCTATTGCTGAGGAGCTGAATAGAGAAGATTATTCTGCTTTTGGCCTCAATTTCCGAGCGGAGAGCTCTACTCTCTGCAGACTACATACGGATGGTGTATGGGTCTAGTAGTGAACGAGGGTGAGACGAAATGTCTCCTGTCATCAAACACTCAGTTATCGCATTTGAGATTTGGCCCCAAGTACAAGACTCTTAAATTGTGTAGACATTAATGAAGCATCTATATCAACCCTATCTGGTAACTAGTAGTATTTTTCTGTTATTATTTTAAAGGTAAATATCCCATTCAATTGGAGAACTGGAAAACTAAATGTTTTTATATTATTATATTTATCATTATATAATACCACACCATACACATACATGCATATATTAATTTTCGGAGAGCGTCGTTAGTACACATGAACATACTTACATATATGCCTACGATTATTATTTTAATAACCGCTATCTAAAACGTTTTGCTTATCAACGGCTGAAGCTGAACGTCAATAAATCGATAAGAAATGAATCACAAATATCGCAATAAAGTGCGGATGAGATAATCGAACCATAAAAGTGGCATATAATTGCTGTAGCAAATAATTAAATTGATGGATATGTTTGAATGTATATACTGTTGTATTCAGGTATTTCCTTTATATAGGAGGGTTCATGTTTACATAACTGGAGTAAAAAATAGAAGAACTGAAACAGTAAAAATGCGAAAGCGTAGAAAAGTGATTGATGTATGTGCCGAAAGGCAGTAATTATTTTTACACTATTTTTTATTCCATTTGCTATAGTAAAAAGTAATCCATTATTTACAATAGATGGCTTTAGTGATCTGTACCTCATGTTCTCTAAGTGCGATTGCGCAATATATTATGTACCTACGTGTAATAAAATCGACCCATAGAATTCATAAAAAATATAAAGTTTCCTCTAAATCACACGAGCAAATTGCATTGCATAAATTTTGAACGAAAATAAATCAGATTTATGAATATGTATATTTTCTCTTTAATTATACAATAAAAATTAGAAGAATGCGTGGATGTAAAATAAAATTATAAAACTATTACAAAGCACAAAATTAAAATTAAATTAAAAATAAATAAATATGTATGTAAATATATATATATATTATTGCATTCGATACATATGTATATATAGCAAATTTACAAGATTTTCCTTTCTCATTCTTCATTTGTCATACATAAGTATGTATAGCGTTGTAGCCATAATAATTTTTGTTCTTTTATTTATTAATTTATTTATTGATTTGGTATTAATTTTCTTGATCACACTTTGTTATATAAAACGGCAACAGTATTTAAGGAGATTTTTAAAACAGCTCCACGTTTTTCTATGATTTTTTCTATATACTCTTCTTCTCCTTTTTTTTGCAGTATGTATGTATGTATGTAGTTATTAACTTTTGCTTTGAAAAATATTTCAAAAAGTTGCTATTTCTTTTTTCTTACTTTATATATGTATGTATGTATATGCATGTATGTGTATGCACACATACATATATATATATATATATGTAGGTGGATCATTAAAATTATATATATCTGTATATAGGAAATTTTCTTTATTAGTTAATAACTCATATATACACGCTCGTATATTTGTATAAGTGCATTGGTGACAGCTAACTGGTGATGTTTGTGTGTTTATAGTGGGCATAAATTTAATTTGCTTAATTCATTTTTAGTTTTTGGACATCTGCTCACTAGTATATATATATATATATATATATATATAAATATATATATGCATATAATATATCTTCATGTAGTACATGCGTTTATATTATATAAATGTATGTGTATGTAAACATTACCCAGTAAAAACACTTGAAAGCGCTTCTAGAGACAACAAATGTTTCTCTTAAGCTTCGTTAATTCACGCTCCTGGTGGGCAGCGCAGAATGTGTACTTTAACAACACATTACCTAAAATCTGTTCTTCACTTCTTTGGAAGTGATTGTGTCAGTGACTGCTCGCAATTTATATGAACGTGTAATCGCTTTCACTTTCACTTGGAGAGGCCTTATTCAATTCCGAAAGTGTTTGTGTGAAGTTAAGGTGTCATTGAACTACGTATGCCACGTTGCCTTCCGAAGAAGTGTATTTTTAATTTTTTGCTGGGTTTTGTGTGCATACACATCTTTATAGTTTATAGTTAGTTAAAAAGTGTGTTATTATTTACAAAAAATTATACATAATTTCGTTTCATCATACACATATCTATATACATACACATAATTAGTATATGAATGTAACAATTGTGATTTTGCTTGTTCTTTGGCTTTGGAAGGGTGGGCTCACTTTTAATATAATATATATATAAATATATGTATATGTATGTTTGTATCTAGATCGTTAGTTAAATAGGAGACTTTTGGAGTATTTTTCCCTGATTTCTTTTACTTTATGGCATTTTTATATGTATCTGTTTCTTTATAGTCGTGTAGGTTTGTGCGTGTGTCGCTGCACATTAGTATTGTATTAACAAAATTTACTAAATATTTTTGTATATATGTATGCATATTTTATTAGTAGTGTTTTCTAGCTTTTTATTTTATATTTGTCACCCGCACATCACTAGTAGAACGAGCTGCACCAAGCATCACCAACTGTCGGACTAAATAAACCAGCCGTGTGGTGACTTGTGGCCGTCTGTACATGCACCGGATGTGTTGTGCTGGTAATGGCGGGCGTTGACGCTGGCAAGCATTGGAAGCAATAATTTGTGCCATAATTGTTATCCCAGAACTGTTGTCCTTTGCATTGAAAACGTACAGCGAATTCGATACGTTGGCCGATTTGCAGCGAATTGCCGAAGAGAAAGAAGGTGAATTTATCGGAGAAGCCATCACATGAATTCTCTGCATAATTCGCCTGAAGATCTGCATAGCTGCGCCAATTGTCCAACGTGTAACGTATGTGCACAGACTTGTTGAAGTCCAAATTGCGTACACGCACTGTGCCGGTAATTGTTTGATTGATGTGATCCGTTAGCGCTGCATTCTCCAGCGAGACTTGCTTCTCACGCACAAGATCCAAAAAGTTCGGCAGTCCACCGGGTTGTTGAAAGAGCGGCATGAGTAGCTTGTCAGATTTTGGGCCCAGTTGTATGGGTGGTTCCGACTCCATTACTTCCAAATCTTCAAATGCAGACTTTGGTATAGTTGGTACTTCGTCGAGAAAGGTTTTTATATCGGCCAAATCTAGACCCAGTACATCTGCGAAACGTACAATCTTCTTACGACCCGGTGTGCCAGGTGGTGTTTTACCCGTTTTAAGTGAGGAGCAACGGCGCACACGTTGTGGTCTGCAATCATCTTCATCCTCATCATGTCCGTCGAATGCGGATTTCTCATCTTTGGTTATATTTTGGTTATGATTAGTTTCAGTGGGTTCCTGAGTGCTTGTACGGGTCGGCTCCGTTGTGTCTAACCCGATTTGTACTTCGTTATGGGCGGATTTATCCGTATTGCTAATTTCAGTCGTTTCATTATGCAATTGTTCTATATTGTCAAGTTTTGTATCTTCATCATCATTGGCAACGGTGTTACCGTTAGTGAGGTTAGCGTGTAAGTCTTCCGTAGGAGTAATTGTTTCGTTATTTGCTTGAGTTTGTATGGATTCTATTAAATTGCCAATTCGTGTGCTGTGTTCTTGTAGTTCATTGATTATCTCATCTTGTATAGTTGCCAAATCCACCGGTGTTAGAGTTTCGTCATTTCTCGGTAACTCCACCAGAGCTTCTGTTTCTGGTGGCTCATTTGTAGTCGCTGTGCTTTCAATTTGAACCGCCTCTGTTTTACTTTTCTCCGTGGCTGCATCTTCGTCAAATGTTTCGTGTATTTGCTCATTGGAGTCGTAGCCATTGTGCAGTGAGGGCACACAGGCCGTACCATCCGTTGTTGTTATTTCTTCATTATGTATGTGATCATAGAATTGCGCATCGGTGGAGCCCCGACTACTCGAAGTCGATGCACAAACACAACCCGATTCAGCCGCCGAATTGTGTGGTGTATTCGACGCGGTCTCGATTAGCCGTAAATATTCACATTCATCCACCGGACTACCTGGACTCTCGAGTTCGCAATCAAAGTCAAAGAATGAGTCGGACTCATGCCGTAACGGTTGCAAATCTGTGACTGTCGCTTCGGTGTCGCTTGTAGTTTTCCATGTGTTAGCTGTGTTATTCTCATTTATTATGGCTACTTCCTCTTGCGATATTTCGCCATCATCGTTCTGGGTGCGTGTTTAGAGAAGAGAGTTCTTAAATAAATAGTCGATTTTTTATAAATTTCCAACATACCTGTGTGCCCAATGTACGCAACTTTGATGATAAACTACGCGCAAAAGCCTCGGCTCTACCACGACATGATGACATGCCTAGTGCTGGTATAACAGATATTATACTGCAAGATTTTGGATCAGGTGTGCTGCTATTATCATTCAATGGTATATCACCGGGACCGTTCATTGGCTTTTACCAGAAACTCTGTCTGTAAATTGTAAGGAAAAATGGGGTTATTCAAACGTACAAACTTCTACATTTGTATTTTTAATATCGTTCAACTCGTTCAGTGCGTAGAATGTTAGCAGCAAAAATTTTTTTATTTTCAGTTTCACATTTAGAAAAAAACCTGATTTTGTATTAAATGCAAATCTCATTTAATCAGCGAAGTGGTACAGCTAAAGTGTCTTCTTAAGGTCCAGCAACTTTGCAACGCTTGGACGCTTAACCAACATAACAAATTTTGAAAAGACAAACGGCTGCGATTGGCGTCTGCGCAGCGTCAGGTGCCTGTTATGGCATTGGGTACAGACCACAACTTTTGCCTACTAAGTACAAATCAGCAACTTCGATTCTTCGTTGGATTTCATGGCTCATTACTGATATTGGTTTGTTCGAAGATGTGCCTAATGATGTTAACATCACGATCATACACCATAATTATTATTATTGTTGTTCTTAAAGCGTCTATATATCCTCATCTAACGAGAAACCCAGGAAACGAACTCTTCCGTCGAGCTGGGAACAAAAAGAAAGAGGTGTGAGTTGAGCTTGCATGGAAAAGTTGGTTCGAAATGGTCGTCTTTCATAAGTGGTGGTCAAATTCTGATGACGCCATACACAAAAAAAGTAAGCAAATGCATCCGATCTGTCGTATCAGATTCACTTTATTATGCTCCCATTTTGGCGGCGGCTATCTTCGATAGACCATCCAACAGTAGGATCCCAGAATTCCGAAGCCCAGCCCTGCTCATAGCAAGATAGTCACATAAGAGATGGACGATCGTTTCCTCCTCCTAATCAGACAGTGGTCTACTTTGGACATGTCTCCTCTGAACGAACCACGCTTAGGTTATCAAGTAAAGCTGTAATGCACCATTGAATCGTAAACAACTCTTGGGAAAAATATGGTAATCTCTCTGTCGCTTTTCTAGTGGATGTACAGAGTTAGGTGAAGCCTAATAAAAAGAAAGCAATACCCGCGTTGGGCACTTTCAGAAATGTTTTTTTTTTAAACTTGAGTTGAGTTGCTGCGGCTACTGGTCAAAGGCCTTTTGTGACACCGCTTAAGCTGAATAAAATGAAATATTTCCCGATGTCTTAAAAACTTATTACCAAATACAAGTAATCATCAAATCGCGTAAGCGCTTTTCAATTTATATACTATGTATTTAAAAGTATTTATAACCTCAAAATGTGCTTGTTTTTACAATTCATTTCCACTAAAAACAATATGCCAGTTCATATAAAAAGTTATCAAAAACATAAAAATATTTGAGCTAATGAAATTCTCAGCGCTTGCATTTGCTTATGATAACAAAATGTAATCTGTTTGGCTTATAAATTATACAATAAGGCAGAAGGCATTAAATAATGCAAAAATCAATAAAAACAAAAAATGAAAATAGAAGGAAATTTTTTCGTTTTTATTTTTATTTGTTTTTTATTCACTTTTTGTTTTATTTATTTATTTTTGCATTTTTTTTTTTTGTTTTTTTTTTTTGTGCTCTTCAGAGCTAAAAATATTTTCACTCTCTAACTTTGTGGACTGGCTCGTGCTAAATAAGAAAAAGTAAATAAAAAAGAACAAACGAAAAATAAAACAAATCAATTTAGATTATTTTTTAGTAGGTATTTGTATATATATGCCAGCAAATACATATAGAAAATTTCATACATGCTATGTGTGCATGTATGTGTGTTGAAAAGTATACAACTGCGACGAAGCGCAATTGTTTATGTACAGCCGCTAATTAGTACCTAGGTAGGTATATAAATACATACATACATATGTACATATTTGTAAATAAAATCTTCATTTCAATTTTTATATATTGTAGTTATCTCAAGATGAAAAAAATTACTGCAATCGAACTTATTTATGAAAGTATGCGCATATGTGAGTTTATTGTATGTATTTTTATTTATTAAGCGAAGTAATCTTTTGAATTGAAAATAGAATGGAGACCAAAATCTTCGTGTACTACTTGTACATTTTTTACATCTCTCACGTATGAATGTAATATTAATGTAATATTAACTTTGTGCCGATGTATGTAAGTACCAGGAGGAGAAGAGATGGACCCACCAAAATGTGTACCGAGCGAGCCAGAGTGGCGAGTTCAGTTGACTTAGCCTTGTCTGTCGGTCCGTCTGTTTGTACACAAACTAAACCCTCAGGTTTAGAGATATTTCGACCTAACGCAGATGCAGATCGGACAACTACAGCATACCACAGCCGATTTTTCAAACTTTTCAAAAAAACATCGAAGATCGTAAGGTTGGGTTTCTGCGAAAATTGTTGCTGAAAGTTATCAAAATGGTACGATAATCACATATAGCTCTTATATATTATTATTTTGCCAAAAGAACGTCAAAAAAAGATCGAAGACCATGAAATTTTTGTATTCTACTGATATATATATATATATATATATACATATATATATATATATATATATATATATATAAAATTGTAAGCTAAAATTATCGAAAGCGGAGGGCCATATCATATAGCTCCCTTACAACCGATTTGCTCAGATATGAAATTTTCGATCAAAAATCTATCAAAAAAGTACCGAGAAGCGTGAGCTTTGGCGTACTACACATGTACATATATAAATACCATAAATTTAATGTGGTCATGAAAGGTATAAAGACTTCGGCATGACCGAAGACAGCTCTTCTTTCTTATATACTTAATTACGCTCAAATACATTGTGCAGATACATACATATATTATAGATAAGTACATGTGCTTCCATTTAATTCTGCATCTAATTATTAAGCATTTATTTATATACCCGATTATATATACGAATTTATCATGAAGATATTTTTTCGCAAAAAATTCCTTATGAACACGCTTTTTCTAAATACATCTATTCATACAAACATACAAAAATACGTATACATATATGCGATGCTGAAAGAAAAATTGCATAAAAATATTTATTTTTCCTGTATTTATAATGAAGAAAAATGAAGCCATATTAACCAAAAAGTCTGTTTATATACTTAAACATGGGCATTATGTACACACATATGTATGTATATATGTACATGTATTTTTTCGGCTCAATAAACATAATTTAATGAAGCAAATAATCAATAAAGTCCTGCACGATATTTTCACTGCCTCATTCTTCAAAAAATGTGCTTAAATTGCGCGTTTGAGTTGAACGATTTGAAGGAAATCCGCTACATAAATTTCAAAACAGTATTAAGTGAATTTTTATGAACTTGAATTTTTCTTATTTTCATATACTAAGCCGGCAAATCGTTAAATAAAAGCAGAAAACGTAATTAAAAATATTATTTGCTTCATATTTTTATCCTTTTTTTAAATATGAGTTTTAAAGTTAATTTTTATTACTTTATTTATTACCTAATTTTAAATTTTTCAATTACAAAAAAAATGTAAGCGAAATCAAGAAAAATTAATATCCTAAACTTAAAATGAAATTAAAAAAAAATTTAATAAATAATAAATAAATAAAATTAAAATAAATTTAAATAAAATTGAAAAAAATTTAAAATTATAAATTTTATAAATTTTTTAATTTTAAATTACGATCAAATAATTACATAAAGAAAATCTAAAATTGCATTATCACTTAAAATGCCAAATGTATGTATGTATAGGTACGTATTTCCATCCTAAAATTAATTTCCAAAAAATTTATTATTCATAATTTTTTAATACTTAAATCTTTCAGTTTATTTAGCTCTCGCTTGCGTGTAAAAATATGACATTTTCTACAAAAACAACATAAAAACACAAAAAATGTATATTAGCAATTTTTCTCTATCTATAGAATTGTTTTTATTTCGTATTAAAACACCCAACAGGAAATACTGCCAATCAAAATGTATAAATATGATGTCATATATGTATGTTTGTATGCTCTTATAATAAAAACCAATTAGTATAGATATGTATGTAATAACGAAATAGCGATAGCAGGTTATTGAATAATTTTCCACTTATGCCATTCATATCACAACACAACACATAGAAGAAGAGCTAATAAAATAACAATAGAGAGAACGTGTTCACTTGTCACTTGTATGCCAGTAGCTGTAATAGCCGGTACACTGCGCTGACGTAGCAAAACAAAACAGCTGACAGCTGACACGTAGAGAAACATTCTCGCCTATTATGCCGTGATAATAACGGCAAAAAAGCATATCAATTAAAGTTGTTTAGGGCAATTATACTCTCTCAGTGTTAAGTAGCGATAATGGAGATGGAAAAGTGCTCTCCCAATTTAGGTATTAATTACTCGAAAAAATTTGGAACAAATTTACACTAAACACCATTTATATTTTCTTTACGACACTAAAAATTTTTAATATTAATTTTTATATAGTTTTTTACCATTTATGGAGCTTGATATGTATCCAGCTTGAAGTCTAAATATCACGTGAAGTTAAATTTGTCACACTATACAACAATAAAATTGTGAAAATTGATTGAATTGGCTTGCTGACATTGACAAAATTTATATTAAAAATAAATTGATTATAATTTGTGTGCGAAAAAAAAAACATGTCATAAAAGTTTATTTGAGCAATCACTGAGAAAACTAATAATTAAGATCAAATATTCCTTTTCAATTATATAAAAAAGACGTTATTTAAATAGAATAGAATACAATGTGGAAACCAAAAAATAAATAATCTTTCATATTTAAAACCAAAATATATAAAAAAATTTTTTACTCAACAAGTTTTTCTCAAAAATGGTAAAAGAAGATTAGATACTCAAATTAAGAAATTAATTTTGCCTTGAGTATTTAAATATAATAATTAATTTTTTTCCATAATGAATTGAAAAGGGTCATTCAAGTATTTCAAGCATGGAAAGAATATAATTCGACAAAGAATTATGCAAGTGCATACATATACATATATGAACAAAATATCCATTAATAATGTAGGAATCTACTTTAACATTTGTAACTTGTTATTTTCGACGTTTCAATGTTGCTGAGTTTTTAATTAATTTCAAATATTTTCATTTTTTGCCATAAAAATTACTCTAAAAATTTTATTTAATTCGGCTTGAAAATTCTGCAGATGCCACAATTTTGTTTTAAATAGCTATTTTTTATCTTATTTATTGGATCTTTTACAGCAGAATAAAATTTGAATTACTAAATTTATGTTTTTGAAAAAATAAAAATAATTAATCTCAAGTATTCGGTCTTGTTTTTATCTAAAAAAAAATCTAATTTCTTTAACCTACTTTAACTGCTCCAACTATCTTGAAAACTTCGATATGTCTTGAGCCGAAATTGTAGAAATTTGTTAACTTATTTTAGTAGGAAAAAATAAACATTTTAAAATTTAAAATGTGCTCCTTACTTCAGCGTTTTATTTATTGTTACATTTGTGATTGCTTTAAGAGTTTTTATTTTTAAAGTTAAATTTAAAATTTCAAATTACCTACTGTCCATATTTTAAAAATGTAAACAAATATATTACACATTCGAGCTTATGTACATGTATGCGCATACATATGTACATAATTTAACATATATATGTATGTACATGCATAAAAATCTTTCAATATGCACATTTAAGCTAGACAACGTAGATTCCGGCTCAATATGAAATCAGCTGTCCCGATTGCAGCCAATAACCCACCAACACCGTCACCACCTTACTTGTCCCCGCCAATTAAAGCGATTAATTAATTTCGCTGCGCAGAAAATTTTCAAACATGTGTACATGCATACATATGTAAGTATATAGAATATACTGCGCCAAAAAAAAAAAAATAATTTTAGTAACTAATTTTTGGCAAGAATTTCTATATAGTCGAATATTTGTATGAATTATTAAATAAATGATTCCATAGTGAATTTCGTTAATTTATATCTGTTAAAAAAATTGTATTTTCCAAAAATCACATGATTTCTACGTGATGCTCTTTCATGCCAAGGCTAATATTTTACTATTCCTTTAAATTAACTTTCCATTAGTGAAACTTGCGGACACACATGGCGGTTAATAACCAAAACAAAGTAAAAATTAAAGCACAAACACACACACGCAGGCATACATACAAACATACAGAAGTAAAAGGATGACATTTGAATTTGTATGGTATGTGGGTATTTTTATGTTCACACATCGAAAAATACATACATACGTGTATGTACACGCATATAAGTATAATAAAACGAACCAAAATAAATTTGCGGCATTTATAAATAGAATTTAAAAATTTGCAAATAGAAAAGAGAAAGGAAATCTCAAATTGATAGCAAATTAGGATTAATTAAACTGATGACCATTTGCCCTGTGTACAAACATACATACCAATACTTCAATTTATAAGTTAGCTTATTTATGTATTAATTATTTATGCGTAGGCACATACATATGTATATACACACAGTCAAATGTAATAATAACATACATACATATGTACGTTCGGAGTTATTTGAATTTTGAAATTAATTCGCTCTTTTTTCTTATTTTCAAATAATTAGCTATCACTAAGAAGTGTCCGGCAACGATACTCGTGCAGCTGCTGGCGCCTGATTATGAGAATTAATAATACCTGCGGCCTTTTTGATTAGCTTTAAATGCTTTTTTAATCTTTTTTTGTGGGGGTTTTTTGCTCTGCGCTTATCAAAAAAACTACTTTGTTTAACAACACTTTTGCACTTAAAAAAAAAAATTATTTTTATTTAAATAGCTTTGCACTGCCGCTTCACTTGAACGAGTTAACGTCCATACTTTTGTTCTAATATTATATACAATATTTTTAATATATATTTAAGATTATGCAGTTCTTTGAATATTTGGGTGTCAATACTAGTTTTTGGGTTGCGTATCCACCTTACAATATTTAGCTTTGACCTTGCGTAGATTTTTTTTTTCGGTGAAATGTCACAGATTTAGAGCAGCCAGTTGTTGTAAGCTTGTATGTATATATTGTAGAACATTTTATTTTAATTAATTTGCATTGATTTACATTTACTTTAGCACATTTTCCATAAAAGCTGCACTTGTTTGTAATAAATTTTATTTATTTATTTATTTATTTATTTGAATTTCAATTTTTATAAGCGAACGCATGAACTACACGAAAAGACAAAAACACACAAAGTTCACTTTTAATATTTGACTTCTACCGTTGCGTTGCTTTTGTGCTCGTCTTCCATCTTGGACACGGTGCGCACAATAAGAGTGTCATTCAAGGGTATTGCAAGGTCGTAGCGCGCAACTTGACGGGTATGGCTCGTTGGTGTACGAATCCACGGCGCTTGCTTTAGCGTCATCTGTAGTCCTCCGCTCTCGTCGGTTTTATTTTATTTTTTGTATCTCATTTTCTGTACTAATATCACCACCGCCACCCAGCTGCTTGTGCCGCTGCTACTGCTGCTCGCCGATTTTTTCGGTAGGTGTGTGTATTTAGCAAATATTTCGTTTGTTTTTATTTCGTTTTTGTTGTGTCTTATTTTTGTGAGTTTTCTCTTTTGACATTCGGCACGAGTACTGACTTTAGATACTCCCAATTAGATTTGTTTAGATAAATACACAACAGCTGGTAAAACTAATATATATGTATACATAAATATGTATTTAAATAAGTACTTTTGTACGACCATGCATACATATGTATGTATGTATGTGGTAAAACAAAACAAAATTGACTTGCTTGACGGCAGTAATTGGCAATACGATAATTCACGTGCGGCTTTTACGTACATAGTACATACGTATGTACCTATCTATACTATGTATGTCGGTATATCGTACGTGCCACAAGACCCATACGAAGTAAACGACGTTTGAGCGATGAATAGACTTTCATAGTTGAAATTTGGCATTTGAGTGGGCGCTAAATCGCCACTACAAATATGTACATACATATGTATGTATGATTGTATGTACAGTGCAGGAAAGATTCACCACTATCTGAATATGTTTACATACGTACAAACAAAAAAACTGAATTTATATTTATACTAATTATTAAATGTTTGAGTTTACTTTGCGCCGCTTATCGTATGTGCATATCTCTCCGCTTGGTCCGGTCGTTTGGTCGTTTGGTCACACTCACTCTCATTTCTACGCGCATATCAGATATTTTCGTACGTACATATATACATAAGTATGTTTGTATGCATGTACATACATTTATTTATTTCACATTGGCCACTGCACTTCTGACTTTCGCTTTCAATTTTTGCATTTCGATAATAATTTGTATGTCTCGCATCGCACTATCGTGACTATGGCGACTACGGCGACGACGCGTTGCATTTAAATAGAGTTTTATTTTTGTAAGGCGGCTGCTCATGGTTCTATCTTGTTTATTTACTTACACATATTTATATTATTTTATTTTTATATACATACAAGTGTGCATTTGCCGCTCAGATCAGGCTTAAAATTATCATTTTCAATGTTTGCGAAAACCTTTGCACTTGCACTGTAACGTCTGCTTAACTATGTGCATGTGTATATATGTATATATGTATATTTGTATGTATGTACTCGTTTGTATTTCATATCTCATTTGCTCGTTCATAAATAAATTTACGAATAAAAGGTAATATTCATGTATGTATGTATGTTCATATGTACATATATACATGAATAATAAATTCAAAGGTGGTGTAAGAGCATGAGAGCGAGATACTAGTTGCTGAGTTATTTGTGCACTGAGTTACTGAGAGTGGAATCATATGCTCATAAAAGGCAAATGTTGCCACTGAAATTATAACATTTTTGTTATTGTGCGTATACTCTATTTATAAGCTATAGTTTTGTTTAAAAATAAATTATTATTATTTTTTGATTATTCTTTAATTTTTTTTAAATTCTTTTTATACTTTCTAATATATTTTCACTTTCATTGAACGTAGGAACTGCAAATGTTTATTATGACGTATGTACGTTTAGCTAAATGATTTTGGGCATTCTTAAGCATTCGTTATCGATAAGTTTTCACGATGATAACAGGAGTGAGCTTTTATTACAGAATTTATCGGCGCAAGCTTATCACTGTGGCTGCTGTTAAGCCAGCCAACCCAGCGAGCAGAATAGTTTAATATCGGATTGCAGATGACTTCGTCAACTTTGATGATTTTATTGACTCGAAAGACGTCTAATCAATAAATAAAGATTTGCATTTTGATTTAAAAAAGTTTGTTTTTTTTTTTCGTTTCGGAAATACATCGAGAGATTAATGACAATGGTGACTGCAAATATTTTTGAAGATAACGATTTGAGAGCCTAAAACTTGATTACCAGCAAAAATGCTATTTTTAATTTGAGCAACCCCAGATAGGGTTCGTTCTTTTTTATTATAGTAGATAATGAGCATCCCCAGAGACGCCTTACACTGCGCACCTAAGATGCTTAAGCTGCTATGGAGCAGATTATCGAAGAAGACAGAATGAGTTCATTTGCCCCCTCGTGCATTAATCGGAGTAATTGTCACTAGCTTTATGGAAGATTTTGCGGAAGGATCTTGGTTTTCGGACTTAAATAATCCAACTCGTGCAAGAATTGAAGCCGAACCACCATCAAGCGCGTCGCACGTTCAGTGAATGGGCCCAAAACGATATGTTCAATTTTAGTTAAAGGACACGTTATTAAAAAATTTGACGCATTTGGAGTGATAGTGATCTACAAGCCAATTCTGTGATGCGATTACATCCCCATAAATTCACTATTTGGTGTGCTCTATGGACAAACTGAACCATTCGATCAATAATGCCATGACTTTTTCGTGTCTTAACCTTTAATGAAGTAAACTTTTGGTGAGCGCAATATCTTGGACATGTGACCTCTAAGATCGTGCTGGTCACAACTTCAAATTGTAGTCGTTTTATTTCTTTTATAAGCCCACAAGTCTAACCTATACACCTATACAAAAGTACACCTTGTGTGACACCGAAAAATTAAATTCCATAAAATTTAATAATTTGTGTTTATTGGGTGCACATATATGTATGTATTTTTATGGCCTACATCTGTTTTATTGAAGGAAATAGCAGCATTGCAATCAGGTGTGAGTGTTATATATTTGTATGTCTTCAAATTTAGTTTAAAACAGTTTTAGTTATGTACCTACATGTATGTATATATGTGTGTAATATTTTAATGAATGACTTGAAATAGCCGAAATAAAAGATAATTCATTGAAAAGACGCCATTCTTCATCTAATCAAAAAAAATAAAAAATAACGACAAGGTTTTTTTTGATTAATGTGTTTTTTTTTTTTTATATTTAAGTTTTATTATTTAGATTACTTTTTGCAATTATTTATTTTTATTGAGTAATTGTTGAACTGGGCTATGAAATGCCACTTTGCCTTTCAAAATCTTACTTCAGATCGTTTTCCAAATATTTAAGACTCGATAGAAATGTGTATGCATTTCTTTCAAAAAATATCAAAGCAAGTGGAAATTTGAAAGAAAAACAATTTTGAACTGAAAAGAAAACTAATTATTTTACGCCACTTCTATAGTTATTAAAACCTTGTTTAGTTATCGAATAAATTGTTTATTTTTTTAAACTACTATCTTTATTATTTATTTACTTATTTACCAGTCATTATTTTTTATAATAAAATCCAACACTATGTTTATATATATATATATATATTTATTTAATAATATAACAGTATTTATTTATTTATTTTTGATATTATTAACATAAAGAAGCAGGAATTACAATATATAATTTACAAATGTGCCATGTCAGCTGTTACCGTTAATCGTTTAAAGAATAAATACAATATATTGATCGATATTTTATGTAGCTGGAGAGCATTTTTCTAATAAATATAACAAAAATTACATAAACAAATGAAGACTAAGTCTTATTGAGTATGGAAGTTGTTTTCTAAATAGTTTTTATGATAAAACATGTTTTTTTTTTATTTTTTTGTTTCTTTTTATTTATTTATTTTTCTCTAAAATTATGCACCAATTTTCTTGCTAAAAGAATTTTCTTTCCATGAATGTTTTTCTGTAACAGACAATTGAATTTTAAAAAGAAAGCCTCAAATTAAGTACATTTTTTCAGTCATTACTTTTACATAGCCATACAATACATTTTAATAATTGCTGCCGCACTAGTGTGCAGATGTATGTAGTATATATGTATGTAGATAATTTGTGTTTAGCCACAAACTGTGTTTTTTTTTCATTAGTTTAGTTATCGAATAAATTCTCTCATCGAACGTTTTTAAAATACATTTCCAATTGTACAGGCATATTATCATATATGTTCATACATATGTACATACATGCAATGTATGTATGTATAATTTAACTAAACCGCAAAAGAGTATTTTTCATAGGTACCAGCATATTCTCACTCATGCACATATGCATGCACATACATACGTAAGTATATATTTGCAAATGAATTATGACTAGAAATTTGGCATCAATTTTATTACACAAATTACATACATACATAATTACTTTTACACCACAGAAATAAAGAATGCATATTTTTCAATTGTAGCCGTGAATAATTGACTTTTCCTTTTGACATACTGCCTCTTACATATTGTACATATTCATAATTTAAATGAATTTTCATACTAAATCGACTATAATACTGGTTAATGAAATGAACAATAGAAAATAAAAAATAAAAAACGAAATTAAAAATAAAATAATGTTAAAATATTCCAGCCATAAGCATACATATACACATGTGCGTGTACATATATAACGGGTATGCTATGTGTTAGTTGATCAAAAATTTGCTCCTCTTTTGCGAAATCTCACTGGAAACGGCAGCTCTGACATTTAGCCATGCACAGTATCTTGATACGGTACAACAATGCAATAACAACAATCCATTCATTCAAAACCCAAACATTTGCTTTTCTAAGGTGCCAAAATTTTCTGCGGTATATGTGTAGCTAGATATTGTTTGTGTAATCTTTGCAGACAAAATTGATAGAATTCAATTTCATTTGTGAAATTATGTCGCACAATATCTTTCACTTTCTCACTCACTGGCGGCTTGAAGTTATTTTTATTGATCTTCGTTAAGTATTCGGCGCTACCTGATAGGATAAGTAGAGAAGAAAAATAGGTTATTATGATATAAATGTTTAACAAATATCAATATATATAAACTGTGCACTTTGGAACTCTGGCTTCTGCTGCCCAATTAAATTGATCAGTCAAAGCAAAATAAAAAATTTAAAATATTAAAGAATATTTTCTCATATGCATTGACGCTCTAAACTAGCACTTATTCCATGATTTGAATAAAAAAATTACAGCTGGCAACTCTGCAATAAAATATTAAGCGCTGTAACCTCCAAGCTCTGCGGGTGCTTTTCTAACATGAAGTGAAAGCTCCTTACAAAACTCCATCGTCCGTTCCGAGGCGGCTTAGTAAAAGCATCAAGTGCACACCCCAAATTGGAAAAGGAGCTCAGCACTGGCAGCTTATGGCATTATTATGCGAGCTTAGAAAACTTAGACATTAGACCTAGAATGCAGGAGCAACTTACAGCTCATCTAAGCAGACTTATCTCTGTTAAACATGGAAACTTAGAACGCACAGTTATATAATGGCTTAGTTATGCTGACTTAGAGGACTTAGATATGCAATATAGTACGCGAGCTCATATTGTAATTCAGTTTTTATCATAGACTTCTTAGGCACGAATCTTAAAATGCTTGGGTAACTTATGTCTGTATTATATGAACTTGGAAACTTTAAGCGCAAAACTTAGAATGCATAAGCAACAAAGAGTCAGTGACTTGGTTTCGAATTGTCACAGAATTTAGGAAAAAAAATAAATTTAATATAACATTTCCTCCACTTGCAAATATTGAATTAGTTAGCATCAAGGTAGAATACCCAAGTGGCATAACAAATATTAAAAATCTTTTTATTAAGCATACAAAATTAAACAGAATAGTAAGTCAAGCCTCCTTAAGTCATTGATTTGTTGATTTTTTCTTTAATTTCTTCATGATCTCGACTGAAAAACAAGTGCTTCAAGTAGCTTTAACGATGCCCTCCTCATGTTTCAGAAATCTATACATATGTACACATGTGTCTATACTTACTTTGATAAATATCTCGTACACCTTCGAAAAATCTTGGTATATATTTTTCGAACACTGACAAAGTGGTGTTCATGTCTTCCAAAACACCAACAACGGCATATTGACTTTCAACCGCGAATTTCGCACGCTCCAGCGCACCCACCGTATTGAATGGACTGATGGAAAATAATAATATAAATATATAATAAATAAATCCATAAAATTAGTACACTCTCTCATAATTAAATTCAATCAACTGTCACACTCACGTGCACTCATATGCATGTCCACAGAAGAATAAACTCTGTCGACGATGATCACCAATACCCTCCACCGTCACACCCTGTGTATAGGTGCATTCTTGATCGCCGGATAGCACACAAGTCTCAAAATCTTTCTTCAGCCACGCAGGATGCGGTAGCGGCAAGTCCGGAAAGGCTGCTTTGCGCTCAACAAAATACCAGGGCGCACGTACATAGTAAAACCAACTAATCACACGTTCAATGGGGTCTCTAACAACGTTCACATAAATCGGCATTGGCAAATTGAACTTGGTGAAGTTTGTATAGCAAACATGTTTAATGAAAACGGACGGTTCAGGTAAATCACTAATCACTTCTGCAAGTTCTTGTTGTTGATCATCGGCCAATCGTATGGTTTCAACTTTTTGCACTGCATCGCGATGAAATTGGAAATTATTACGTTCCGATAGACGTCGTAGAAGTTCCATAAATGTTTGGCTGCCCACCTTCGGTACACGATTAAAGAAAACTAAATCGAGTTCGGCTTTTCTTGTGTTGTTCAACTCTAACGCATTTAACGATTGCATCTGTGGAGAGGTAAAAAGGTTAGGTATATTACAAAATAAGAATCAGAAGACATGTATATAAAGTAAATAAGTGTAATTAGTTAACTTTGCATCATCCATTTCATGGCGTCAGGAAATAAATCTTTGACAATTCTCTTTGCTCACCGTTTGATGTTATTTAAATATAGTATCATCAAGAGCGAAGTGAAGGTGCCCAATAGGACCCCTGTCGCAAAACTTGCTCCCTTGTGAGCCCAGAGCCTAATTAACGCGATAAATCTTATTTTACTTACCCTTACCGAGGGACCAGCCTTTTTAAACGGGGTATACACATAGTCTTGTTATTTAAATCATGCCCAAATGGGCATCTAGTTCGCTAGATTTGCAGACTCGACGTCTATGTTTCCTAAAACGTGAAGCATTTATCATTGTTTTTATTTAACTTACTCTATTTCATTTTTTATTTTATTTTAATTTATTTTCTTTTTTTTATTTAATTTTTTGTTATTTTATTTTTTATAATTTTTTTTTTTATTTTCAAAGAAGATTTTAAAATATTTTTAAAAACTACATTTTATTAATCCGTAATCAAAAACAATACTAAAATTAATTAAGTACTTAAATTAATTTTCGCTTGCTCCTCAAGCTTAAGCGCTATATACTGTTTATAAAGTCGCTGTTTACAAAAGTAATAAAAATCATATTCGTTTGTGAAGTTCTTGCGTATCATTTCCTTCACATCCTTATCAATGTGTGGTTTACGATTGTTGCGATTTCGATTAGTAATCTGCGCCTTATTCGCTAAACAAAAAATATAAAAATTTCATAAAATGTATAATAAAGGAATTATCAAAATTACCGTAATATGCACTTAAAGCGCCGCGAAAGAATTTTGGTATATAATTTTCTAAAACCGTTAATGTGATATTCGCGTCTTCCCAAGAGCCAACGACCGCATACTCTCTTTCCACGTGCTCTTTAGCCAATTGTATGGCGTAGGGAGAATCGAAGGGTCTAAATCGTGGTAAATTTACTTCTTTTAATTATATGTATACACTTATTGCACATTTTCTCATTGTATATCTGATATATGTATGTATATTCAATCATATTACTCACAAACAGTCCAAATTATGACCACAAAAGAACAACGACTGTCGCTTGAAATTGCCTATATAATCAATATATGTAAAGGGAACATATTGACATTCCGGATCACCGCTGCGCACGCATTCATTGAAGTCCTTTTTATACCAAGTGGCCGGAAACAGTAGTGCATTTGGATTTTTACGAAACATATGTGCATTCTTATAGGAGTTACGGGCATAGAAAAACCAACTGATCACCCGCTCGACTGGATCGCGTACTAAGTTCATGTATATCGGTTTTGGTAGACCGTAATCGTGAAAGTCAATCCAATTGACATGTTCTATATAAGCGCTGTTGGCACCCAAACGAAATATAAAATCCGCTAGCCTTTCTTGCTCTTTGGGGGGTAGGTAACGTTTACCCGGCTTATTCAGACCAAGATGCTCAAGTACGAATTGATTTCTCACCCCCAGATTATCCAACATTGAAGTCATAGCCTCGCTGCCCACTTTGGCGCAACGATTGAAAAATAGTATATCAATGTCGGCTTTCCGTGTGTTGTTTAAGGATTTGGTTGTGAAGGAATGTAGCTGTTTTGTAATGTAGGAGTTATGAGCTTCAAATATTCTTATTATTTCAACATCAAGGAATGTATTACAAACGCAAAAACTTTATGGATTTTATGAAATGAAAACAAAAATGAACACAACACAAAACGTAACTGAAATAGGAGTTGGATATGTTTTTGTGACCGCATCAAGTTGAATTCGTTGCCATCTCTAGTACTACAACAATAATGTAAACTGAGGAAAACCGAGGTACTCAACCCATCGCTCGTACTCTTTCATTAATTACCATGCTTTTTTAAATGAAAAGTAAACTCTATGTCTGGACATCACTTTAACAATAATAAGATATCAATCTCTTAATCAATCCGGCCAACTTAATTCGCTCAACAACTAATGAACATGGGACCGTACGTTTAGTGTTACTCAAGGTCGGCATAGAGAGCTCCTTTTCGTGCTTTCAAAGGCCGTTTGGAAATCGACGAGAAGGTGCTGTGTTTCGAATCTTTCTTTATGGATATTTTGCAGGCCAAAAGCCGAACGGTGAAGTCAAACAAAACGCTCGGCACAAGGTAATGGAGATACTTGGGGGATCGACGGAGATTGTAGAGTTCGATTTTATCATTTCTCTAACTGACCAAATTTTGCAAGGAAGCTGATGCATGCACATTATTAGTCCTTCTACTTCTGCGGTTTAGCTGAAATTACTACCACTCAGATCGCCAGGGTTCGAATCCTATTTGGCTAATATCCAAAATTAGACAAAATTAATTTATCTATTTCAATTGCGCTCACCCGTATCTGTTCCATCTCATCGTAATCGATTGTGGAACAGACCAGGGATTAGGAAGAGTTCCCTTCATAAAGTCAATACACTTTAGACATCAGTCGACAGATCACTTCTTTGGATCTTAGGCCAAGACTAGCAGGAATAATAAGACAGAAGACACATTCGCTAAACTTCAATATTATGTATCTGTAACAGTAAACTACATAAGCCAAACTATGAAAAAGAGACAAGATCTGGAAAAAATCGTTGTTATTATCCGAAAATTTATTTTAAAGGTAAATACAATCAAAATCAATTTAAATTCTCCATAACAGCCAATTCCTTAAGACTCACAGCCAAGTACTGTTTGTAGAGGCGTTGCTTGCAGAAATAATAAAAATCATATTCATTTGTGAAATTCTTTCTTATCATTTCCTTAACGTCTGCATCAATTTTCGGTTTTCTTTTATTTTTATTCCGATTGGTGATCTGATTGTTGTGGACTGAAAAAGGAATAAAAATTTTTGTGTTTTTATTTATAAAAAAGAACGTGTAGAGAAAAGCTAAGTTTGACTGCAACCACGCATTAACTACCCGACTGCCTTTCCGCGGAGCATTGGTTCGAGTCTTGGTTAGAAAAACATCTAAGCAAAGTTTCTTCTAAATTGGATCGCCCTCTAGAAATAATATCAATCGCTTTTAGTGTATTTCTGGTATAAAATAAGAGCGTCTCAAACAAAAAGCCGTCATACACTTGGGGCCTGCGTTATCGTGTAAAAAATATTTATGTCAAGACGCACCACACAAATAATTAAAGCAGGCCCTCCAAAATTCCTTAAGCGGTTATCACGATTTTTTTACATTTCAAAATTACCGTTATGAAAGAGATAACTTTGGATTTCGTCCGATTGTTTGCAGTATGTAATATCTAGTCTATAGTTCTCTAGTCACGGTGCAGTACTGCGTATTCGGATGCAATAATAAATAAATAATGAATAAATATTGTTTAATAGAACAATAATTGTATAATATAATAGTTAAAATGTCAAGGCTTACTCTCAAATACAGTCTTAGCGCCTTGAAAGAAGCGTGGTATATATTTCTCAAAGACAGTGAGTGTTATATTTGTGTCCTCCCAGGAGCCTACCACTGCATAATCACGTTCTACATGCTCCTTTGCCATTTGTACAGCCGCCGGCGAGTTGAACGGTCTATTGTAAAAAGTTTGATGTAACGTCAAAACGCACTTAAATTTTTTAAAAAGTTAATTTGCACTCTACTAATCCCTCACTTACATGCAATCATCGTGATGGCCGCAGAAAAAGAGCGTTTGCCGTTTGAAATTTCCAACAAAATCCTTAACTGAAAACGGTACATATTGACACTCGGGGTCACCACTACGTACACATTCGTTAAAATCCTTTTTATACCATTCTGCCGACTTGATGGGTTTATCGGGATTCTTACGATATTCAATTGCGTTCTTATAAGCGCCACGTGAATAGAAATACCAGCTAATAACACGCTCTACGGGATCACGTACCAAATTTATATAGATCGGTTTTGGCAAATCAAATGCCTCAAAGTCAATCCAATTCACATGCTCTATATAAACGGAACCTTCAACAAACTCGGATATTGTTTCCGCCAATTCGCGTTGTTCGTGTTTCTCCAACTGCCTTTTGGTGGGTCTATGCAGACCTTCGCGTTCCATAGTGAGATCGTTGAAATCCTCCAATTTATTGAATAGTTCGAGCAGAGCCTCGCTGCCGACTTTTGCACAGCGATTGAAGAATAGTACATCGATTTCGGCTTTTCGTGTATTATTCAAGCGATAGGCATTTAAACTTTTTAACTATGAGAATAAATTTTTTGAAACTATTTATTTCGATCATTTTTTAAGGGTGTAATGAAGACTAAAGACTTACATATATGGGCGGTTTCGTTTTCTTTTATACCAATGCAATGCATAGAAATAAGAAATTTGAAAATATAAATAAATAGATTTGTATATTCAAGGAGTGCCCAGAAATCCCATACCGTTGTTAGAAAGTTTTGTTATATTAAAATAGCTAAATTTTTCTTTCTTTAAAAAATATCCTTTTCGATTTTTTAATTAAAAAATTAAAAACAAAAACAAAATTATAATTTTTTAAACTTGCTGTTACAAGAATCATATTTTCATGATGAGGTGTTCCTTAAAATCTAAAAAATAGAATTACAGCCCGTTTGAGGTTTCCCTTCGGCACAGGTTCCCAATACTGCCTCAAGAGCTAGAAAATTGTTCTCAATTGTTTTCAAATTGTTCTCTACCAGCGTGATTTTTCGGAGAAGTCATAGCTTGCCTGTTTGCAACATAGATAAAGTAGCGAGATGTTTCCGTAATATTTCAAATACAGCTGTTAATTTTTAAAAATTCTCACTGAGCACTTACGAGTCTACCCCAATCCTCATGATCAAACTGCCATTAAATCCTTTTAAAGCTCATACCACTTCAAAAGTAGCCATAAAATACTGAGAAGCTTTTAACTTACTTGCGACACAGAGACATTCCAGAGACATTCCAGAGATTGTGCTGTCGCGAAACACTCCTAATCCCGCCGTAAATTCTTCTGCACACAATGCACACCTCTAAATTCTGTTGCAGTTGCAGTAACTTAGAGTCAGTAGAGCAATATATCTATCACAATCTAGCACCCAACACAGCCCTCCACCGTCTCCTCGGTGATTTCTAGTTCGACTTTCTTAAAAAGTTCACTTCAATATTCTTGACACTTACTTGTGGGTTTCATAAAACACACCAAAGAGTTTGAACATCTAAGGAGATGAGTTGAATCTCTTTTCACAGGTCCACCATAGATATTACAACATACCAGTAGACCAAATTGTGTTTGATCACAGTTACGTAATCGAGCAAATTTAAAAACTAGACTACAGTAGTAGTATGCATATGAGTCAAAGATTTTTAACATACTAAGTTTAAGAGCGATCTGATACGACCAGGAGGGGTGATCTTGATAAAGCCGAACAGAAACGCACACTAAGGCCCACTACCATCTCGTTTGTGCGTGTCTCCCTCCAAATTCTGTATTTAAAGCTGTCAATACAATGTTCGCCCCCTAGCTGCCCTTACACACGGTCTTGGCGATTTTGCAGGCCGCTAAATCATTTCTTCTCGACATGATTTGTTTTACAGCTTTTTCGCCAATTCCTTCTACAGAGCCATTATCGCTTCTGTTATACACTGTTCCGGCTCAGTCGCCAACAGAAGAGAATTTTTAGCAATCTTATCATCTATTGCGTTTCTCACAACGATCTTGTGGCCTCAAATCACAGTGAATCAATTTATTGATCAAATATACAATGAAATTCAAGTGTTGCCTGAAGCTCTCCTGAAGCCCAATTCGTACGAGTTTAGTCCTCCAAAAACAATTTATATGATTTTATCTAAATAACTTATAGTTCTGACTCTCATTACCCAACACCTAGCAAATCTGGACCAAATCTAAAATGTAATATAAAATAAAATGAGAGAACCACTGCCGGACGGCCATGATAACCACGTGTCCACTCAAAATACAACAACGACTATTGAACGCATTGAGATGGAGCAAAATGCAGCATCTGAACTTAAATTATGAATAACAGATAAAAATTAAAAAAATACATAAATTATTAAAAAACATTTTGTATAGATTATTTAAATTTATTATTTTCAATACAACTTAAGGAAATAAGTATATTATTTTTAATAATAAATCATTCACATTTATTTTAAGAGCGTCGCTTCGCCTTATGTGGCGCCAAGGCGAGCGATCGTTGCAAATCTTTATCAACTTGCTTAAGTTCATCCATTTTTATCGCTATATATTGTTTGTGCAGGCGTTGACGACAGAACTGGTAAAACTCAATTTCACGCGTAAAATTCTTACGAACCATTTCTTTGATGTCTTCGCTAATGTGTGGCTTCATGGGATTGTAGTTCTGAATGTTCTTGTGCAGATCCACTACAATGATAAATATTAATACATATGTACATATATACAAATATATATCTTTTAATTTTTTTCCTTTAAAAGAGCAAAGCGCAAACACACTTACTGTAATACATATTTTTAGCGCCGCGAAAGTAGGACGGTATATAATTTTCCAAAACACTTAACGTAACATTGGTGTCTTCCCAGGTGCCAACCACAGCGTATTCTTTCTCCACCGTGCGCATGGCTATTTGCAGTGGCAGTTTTGTATTGAATGGACTGGAATTTATGAGGATTGTTTAATTTATAAATTAAATTAATTGTTTATAACTTTCTCACTCACGTGCATTTGCGCTCATTGTGTCCGCAAAAGAACAAAGTTTGTCTGCGATGATCACCAACATGCTCCAAGCCCACACCCTCTATGTAGGTGCACACCTTTTCGCCACTCAGCACACACTGATCGTATTCGGTGTTCACCCATTGCGGATTGGGCATTTCCCTATTACTTTTACGACGATTCGGTACAAATATCCAGGGGGATCTGATGTAGTAGTACCAACTTATAACACGCTCCACCGGATCACGCACCATATTCACATAGATTGGACGTGAAACGCCATATTTTGTAAAATTCAAATAATTAACATGACTAACAAAGACAGTGCCGTCATCTAGGCTTTCAATATTATCAATCAATTCTTTTTCCTCATAAGCGTCCAACAGGGGACGTATGCCACCATTTTGTGGATCAACCTCAACATCATAGTTGTGCACTTTTCCCAATTTACGCATTAGCTCGATTAACTGTACGCTACCGGTTTTCGGCACACGATTGAAAACGAGTATATCTACCTCGGCTTTGCGGGTATTATTCAATTCGTTTGCATCCAAATGGAAAATCTGTGGACAGTGTTTGGAAAAATCGGTATTTTTGAATATCGGCTTAAGGATGTTTGGCATGCTTGATAACAAGGCGAATTCAGAAAAAGGTGAGAGCAGCAGCTGCGACAGTCAAAATCATGGAAAATTAATTGGCTTTTAAAACGCAGAAGTCACGGGATCTTCATGTTTACGAATAAAAGATCAAATGATAATTAAACAAATAAACCAAACGGGAAAACAATTTAGGCAATCATCACGTTGATAGAAAGAAAAACTTTCGCTGCTTTAGTAACTTCACCTTGTTAAATTCGCCTTGATTGATAAGCAAATATTTGGCAGGATTAATGACGATTGGGTTTGAGTGAAACGAATATTATCGACATTTTAAATAGGAAATAGTTTAGAAATGAAGTTGAAAAATGCCAAAGTATTTTTAGAAAAATATTTTTTTTATTTATAAATGAAGAGCGAGATTTGCATCGAAACCGAAAGCGAGAATTAAATAAGCATTTACTCTACCACCAAATTGTTGAAAATACATATTATTTACTAAATGTCAATGCTTAGAATATACAGCTTTGAATTTTTTGTTGTGAAATTATATAATGTATGCCGAGGCCGGTTTCTAAATAAATTTGGGAAAGTGCATTCAAACGTTTGGGTTGATCATTTGTAACCAAAATTATAACGCAACAAAAAAAAACATTTAAAAGAAATAGCAAAAACATAAAACAGAAAAGAACTTTCAAAATAATTAAGCTTAAAAAAAATACAAATATACATAAAAAATATTTATTTTTTAAATATTTAGAATGCATATAAGTCAGTTTAAAATGATACCCCAAGACTTTGAAGATTTTTTTTTTCCAATTTTCAAAAGCTGCTTTACTTATGGACTTTCTTTCATTTAAATTTCTGACATCCGAGATCAAGTATAGCACTTAATGCTTAAATTTTGTTATAAAAATAAACATTCTTCAAAAATTAAATAAACATATATTTATTGTATGTAAAAAGGTAAAATTTGCACGATTTTCAGGTTTCGTTTCTTTGTACTTCAATTATCCTTAGTTACGACATTTTATTTCGAAACCATTATAAAATACTGACTCTCTACCCAATCAATATTTTATAATATTTAAGTAAAATGTCTACTATTTTCTAATTATTATTGCAACATTCAATGAAATTCTTTCATCAATTTCTCCTTCTTAATCGCTATGTACTGTTTGTACAAACGTTGCTTACAAAAATTGTACAATTCGATTTCGAATGAGAATTGCACTTTCAATTTCGCCTCAATATCCGGATCCAATTCGTTCTTATGTGGTGTGGCATTTTTATGGAAGCGTTTCGGATCACCTATTAAAGAGAGAAACAATATTTAAAGCTTTTAATTTTTGGTTTTAAGCTTCTAAGGTGTGCAAAACCTACTATAAAACACCTTAGTGGCACCACGAAAGAATCTCGGTATGTAATGCTCAAAAACCGTTAGTGTTATATTTGTATCCTCCCACGAACCGACTACTGCATACTCGGATTCGATATTTTGTTTTGCTATTTGTGTGGCAGTTTGTGAATTAAATTGTCTGTGAAATATCAAAATTTCATTATACTGGATCTCTCATCGGCGTATGTATTTGCCTATTAACCCCCTAAGGAATGCTTGTACGAATTCCTTATAATTATTTAAGTTAAAGTTTAATATTGATAAATAAAAATAAAATAAACAATAAATAAAATATACAAATAAAAATATGTGAAATCACTAAAATAGATAAATTAAAACGAAATACAAAATTAATAAACAAAAATAAAATAAATTGAAATTAAAAAGAGTATAAAAATATTTAAAACAAAATAAATTAAATTATTTAAAATAACTAAACAAATTAAGAATTAAATTTTAATTATATAATAATATATTGTTAAACAAAATAAAGAAAATGAAGTGAAATGAAATAAATTAAAACAATGTTAAATTAAATCATGAATCAAAAAAAAAAAAAAAAAAACCTGAAGTTAACTTAAATTATATTAGGTGAAATAAAATAAAATACGGCAAAAATGTAAAATTTAACAAAATAAATGAACTGAAATAAATTTTAAAATTATTAAAAATTAACAAAACAAAGTAAAACGAAAAAAGATCTAATAATATAATCCCAAATTAAAAAAAAAAACACAATTAAGTAAATATAGTAAAAAGCTTTAATTTAAAACAAAATTAAATTAATTTAGTTTTTATATTAATTAAAAAAAAATTTTATAAAATATTTGTTTTGCTAATAATAAACTATAAAAAAAATATATAAATTAAAAAAATTTCATTAAAGTATACATTAAATAATTCATTAAATTTTATTTAGTAAAATAATATTATGTTTTGAATAAAATAAAATTATATTAAGTAAAATAAATACGAGAATTTCAAATGAAATAAAATAAAAAAAAATTTAATTAATTACATGAAATAAAATATATTAAAATAAAATAATGCAAACTAATATAATAGAGTTATATAAAACGATAATACAAAGAGAAAAAGAAATGTAACAATTATTAAAAAATAAAATAAAAAAGTGAATCAATATAGAAAAAAATAAAAAATAGTAAAATAACTAAATAAATAACGTTGGGCAAAAAGTGGAGCAAATTAGTTTTATTTGCACTGACCAAACCAGATCAGCTAAGCCTAATTAATAGCTAAAACGTCTAAGTCACTTGAACTGATCGTTTAAGGAAGGGAGGCTGATCTAAAATTTCGAAAAAATCGAAATCACTTTTTTTAACTGGCCGAGGACATAACTCGAACAAATCTTCACCGATTCTTACGAAATTTTGACAGTACATTCGAAATACCGTTCTCCGCAGACGTACGAAGGAGTTTTTTTAATCAAAACTTTTATATCGTTTTTTATAGTGAAAATTATAACTTTTTTTCAAACATGCACCATTTCACGAAAAAAAATATCGAAAAAATCCTACGTACGTCTCTTGCTGTTGTTATATAGAAACTAAAAAAAAAAATGATTTTTTGATCCAGGACAAAAATTAAGGAGTTTACATCTTCGGCCATGGACCCATTAGAAAAAATGCGTATTTGGACACATGCTGAACAGCGGCCATTTTGAAATTATATCACATGAAAAATTTTGTATTTGTACCATGAAACCTATATTATTAAACCTACTTCACAGATTTCGGATTGATTCTTTTGTTGCGTCTAAATAAATTCATAAAATATGTCCATTTTTTTGCGATCTAGACCAGCTTCCCCCCATAACAAAAATTAATAAAATAAAGCGAAGCCAAATTAA